TTTTTAATTATCTCTCTATTTATTTCTTTAAATATTTTAATTTATATTATAAATAATATACTTTAATAAAAAAGCTATTTAAAGGTTAGTTTATAAGTTATTTTTAATTATTTTTAATTATTTTTAAATATTTTAATTTATTTTAAAAATATCTTTTAATTATTTTTAATTTATTTAAATATTTTTAATTAATTATTTATTTTATAAAGAATATACTTTTATTTTAATTAAACTATTTTATAAAAGAAAGAAACTAAAAAAGATAACTTAAATAGAAGATATATTAAAAGCTTTTACCTATAAAAAAGGGGTACTTAATAGTTTTTTATATATATTTAATAGTTAAAATTATAATATTAATTATTATAGTACTTTAAATTATATTATTATACTATATTATTAAAGTTTATTATTAAAGAACTTTTATAATAGGTATATTAAGTAATAAGTAATAATTCTTTCCTTTTTTAATAGTTAAGTAATTAAATTCTTTTTTTTTTAATTTCTACTTAAATTATTAGTATACTTTATAAAGTATACTATAATTTTAATCAAAGACTCTTTTTATTTAAAGTAGTTTCTTATAGAGCTTAAGGTTACTTTATTTTATATTTTATTTTTAGTTTACTTTATTTAAGGTCTGAATAACCTTAAAAGGTTTTTTAGTAGTAGTATTAATTCTTATAACCTATAGATTAAGAAGTTAGGTAAAATTTACTACTTTTTGGAGCTTGTGGAGGGCTGTAGTAGTAAATTTTGGTGAAGTGAACCCGACTTCTTATTAGTACAGCGTCTGGGGGGCTTGATCAGTACACACCTGGGCAGGCTCTCTATTAGAGCCCATGGTGCCACATTACCTTTTCTCCAGAAGCCTATGGAGAAAGGATGGAGTTATTGCCTCCCTGGTGCCCGTTAAAAGCCCCCTAGGCGTAGCAGCTATCTAGAAAGCAATTAAAGGTTCTTGAACTGAAAGAGGAGGGGCCTGAGAGAGGAGCAGGAGGGCAAGTTCAGTTACACTGTTAGCCTGATACTATTGCTCCTAACTACACAGTCTGCGCGCCACGCCCACGCCCCGTGTCCTCATTCACTCTGCTTACAGCTATTACTCTTATACCTGGTTTCGCTTCCATTCCGCATACGTTCGAGGACATACATGACGCTTCATACGATGGTAAACGCTCAGGACCCAGCGCTTAAAAACAAACCTCAATGTCAGTAACAGTACATCACTGAGTCGGTGGAGACGGTGCTAAACTGTGCAAATATCTTAGATGCTGGCTCCGAAGACGGTCCCAAATGTAGTAGTGAATCTAATGCTGACATGTTCAGCCGCAGCTAGGCAACAGTGCACTACACGGGTATTCATCGATCACAAGTTCGATCGACGCCTGTAGACAGGAGTGATTCATGCTTCGCATATACACCTAGCTACAGTCTGGATGAGAGCATCAAGTACTGAGTAGGAATCACGCTAATACTGCGCGGTCCTCCTCGTGTTCAATGTTACTTTAGTCGGACATTGCACTCAATCATCTTAGCCGCCCATCACTCCCAAGGGGCTGCTTGCTAAATGCGCGGTGTGTGCATCATAACCTCCGCCAATTCGTGCATTCTGTCTGTTGTCATGTTACAGTAACACTGTAACAAGATTCGCCGGTTGTTTTGACCATGAATTATGTGTCTTCCTCAAGTGCTGTCCAGACTCCTCAAGGTTGACCAATTTCACAACTTTACGCGTCATGACTGCGTGTAGAAATGTTAGTATGGTGGAATAAAGGCTCAACCTGCCAACAGCCGTCAGATTGATGACTCAAAAGAGTGTGATGAGTTGTTTCCCTGGGCAAAACTGTCGCGTGCGTGGCCCAGCCCGCGGGCGGGTTTCCCATAAACCTTGTCGTGCCAAGCGGAGTCATGTCACTGTCGAGACTCCAAAAAAAGATTCCTGGCGGTGCATTTCAATGACGATAACACGTGCGCATCCTGGCTCTTTGTGGAAGATTGAGTTTGCCCCTGGCGCTAAGAAGGCTAATCAAATTATAAGCAGATCTTTCACCTCATCGGCCAGTGATCTGTGGATTGGCAAAAAAAAATTGCAAAACTTTTCAATTACTCTGTTACTTCGTGTTGAAAATCACATCACAATCGTAAGTTTTTGAGCTGCTGGAAAAGCAATGATCGCACAAATTCAGGAAGCGGACCTCCACACCAATCGGATAGGTCGAAGGGGAGAATCGGAATGCGGCACAATAAACAAGACATATGGATACGAGAAAAAGAAAAGCAAAAAATAGGGACGCCACGGATCGAACGTGGACCTCTGGTTGCCGACAGGCAGCCTCTCGCCGACCCTCCAAATGAGCCACGTACCCCCCCAAATCAACCACCCCGCTTGGTCGCTGTCGAGCGGACTGAAAAGCCTTGCAGAGCCTTTGACCTAGCGATGACAGCCCGCCGTCCAACTTGCTTGAATCAAGCTTGCGTCATAGTAGCAGAACGAGGTGGCTAGTCGAGGTGTTTTCTTGCAAGGTTGCTTGAGAGCAAGACGCAATGGAATTCAATCGTCCTATGAGCCTGTGAAGCTCACACTGGCTGTCGCAAGGTCTCTGTCGGTGAAGAACAGTAGGTGGCTGACGATGAGCACTCCGTCTCGGCCGCTGGCATTATCTGACACCTGGACACGCTGAGCATCCACACCGTAACTAAACATCGCAACGAAGACGCGAGACAGGGACGGGATCAAACCAACCAGGACAACTCACACAGCCGTCCACTAGTACAAAGACTTGATGATAGAATGATGAGGCTCTGGTCCCGCCCACAGCGTCGGTATGCGTTCTGGATCTGGTTTAGCAGCAGGATGCTCCTAATCAGCAACATTTTTCTTGTTTCACCATGAATTGGCGCCACATCTAAGGCTCATCTGGTCACTATTTCGGACATGTTATCGCCTTGGGCGACATGAGTAGACATCACAGAGTAAAGCCACTGTCACAGAAGAGCCTTGTCGCATCCAGCTGAGACGTGTAACTGAATGCTCTCCTACAGTGGAGCGCGGCAAAGGGAGCCTCCGCCCCCCCGGCCAGCGAAGGTGCTGACATCGTGAAGAGACCCCTGCAAGCGGATTAATGATTATGCCACGAGGGATTTTCCTCGCAATGAAGACGGGACGCAGGGATGATTCGTAGTAGAACCCGCCTTGCTTAGAACTTGAAGCTTACAATAACTTAAAGCATCCTTTACCACCGTCTAATTACAGATCTGCAAAAGGGACGAACTCTTCGAGGTTGTTGTGACCTATTGCAACTCAAAGAACCTTGGAAGCTTGGTAACATGTGGTGGTGCTCGCCTCACATCAAGTCATAAGTTGCCTGCTCCCTACCTCCATGGCGGACGCGTCTCGGACGTCGCGGGCCGTTCTTGGCTGCGTGACCTGTCGTTTGTCTTCTCGGGAGACATAGACGGGTTGATCAGCGCTGTCAGAGTTTCCCGCCGGTCGAAAGATGATCCAAAGCCCGCAGATCCAGGAGCTTTGCAGCACTGGCGACAGCACTGGCAACCGGCTGCCGTGATTTGATGATACGAGGACGACGCCGAACTGCCAGACACACCAAGCGTTGGGTTTCTTTTCACAAATCAATCCTGGTGATCACGATCGAGCGGACAGTCATTTCTAGTTTCTCCGACTTCTGTCAGACCCCCTGGCCAAGAAAGTGGGCTCTTAGTATCATGCAACTCTATTCAGAAACGCCCTGAACGTCGACTGGTCGAGCAGGCAGGCAGGCCACCGGACTGAACAATAAGGTGCCGAGATCAGGTTCGAGTAGGCCACACGATTTTTCGGGGGTTTTTGAGCGCGTAGGCGGGTACAATAAGCAGTTTGACTGTCCTGTGGTATGGTCAAAGCTAAAAGTCTCAGGTGCATGTGTGGCTTGTTGTCAAACACGCCTGGGGCAGACCGCAGTTTCTGGAGGGGCTTGCATCTGCAGGATGTGCTCCTGCCTGGGCGAGGTACACACCGGCCATGAATTGATCTTTCAGTACCAGGTGGGTGGAAAACTACCACATCACAACGGTTTTCACCACCCTATGTCTAGCGTCTGCCTCTAGTGCGAGATTCTCTGGTGCGCTGCTCTCCGATGAGAGCGTCATGAGTCGTTGGTTTTAGGCTAACCCTGCCTAAGCCTTGTAAATCCGAGTTGTGGAGATGGGGAGCGGCTGAAGGTTCGTCCCATGCTGCGGAACGGAGTTTACACACGAGGTCTATCGCGCTTTTAACTTCCAACCTGTCACACCATGAGCTTTTTTGGCTTTCCAGTGAGATATCGTGTCAGGCCGGACCAAAATGAATGTGCGCCAGCTCGAAGAAAACAGCGGCCCAGACGAAGCATGTTTTCGATAACCTCGGAATTGCGGCTGAGATCCCAGAACAAGGCAAGTTCGGAAGCTTAATCGGATCGGACCCGATGGGATGCCAGCGTCCAACTGGGACTCTGGAGTGCTTCAGGTAGATTACGGTTGCACCAGCATGCCGGGTCATCTTTCCCCAACTCCTGCTGCAACCTCGAGCAAGGTGGTGTTCCTCTCAGCCCGCAGGCTCGGCAGTCCGCTCATTCGCCGAGCCCTGCTAGACTTTCTTTGTCCAGTAGCACAATATTCAGACGACGCGTTCGCGTTTCGGAGCATCGGGGCCTAGCGACCTTACTCAGCCATCGGGGATGGCCGCCGCAGTGATGCCGTTGGCCAGGGCGCTCCCTCGAGTCTCCCTACATATGTAACCTCCAAGGGACCACTAGTCCGTGCGACAGGGCAGCAATATGCGGCCAGAAAGGTTAACAACACATGTGTGTAACGTACTCGCTACCACCTTGGGCCTTTCTCGTGGGCTGCGCGGAGGACTGCATGTTACACTGTGCAGACAAGCTCAATGCAGGAACGGGACGGGACCCCCTGCGCGCTGTGGTTTGAGTTCTCGAGGCGAGAATGGTTTCGTTGGGGAGACTGCACTCTCATTTCAACGGTGGTTTAAATGAGCAAACCACCCAGCGCTAGTTTCTGCACACTGCTGAATGCAATGGTTCAAGTCATTGCCAAAAGATTTCCCGCTTCACTTCTGAACAGTCTTGCGCCACATCAGTCCGTCTGAATGGCTGACGATAGGGGCTATGTCATCCTTGCCTTGGTCGGTAGCCTACTGCCCGTGGTGACTGGAGTCGTGGGTTTGCGTTTCTACACCAGAGCGTCTCTCGTCAAGTCGATCGGTCACGATGATTGGGTCATTCTTCTCGCCCTGGTATGGCTCCTTATTAATAAGTCGGGAAATAACGTGACGGCAGTGACGGGAGGCTAATCTGCATTCGCCACAGTTCTTTACGCTCGCGACAGGCATTGACCAGGCTGTTATGACAACCTTGGGGCTAGGACAACATGCTTCTACCATTTCCCCCAACGGCTTGGAGAGATACACCTTTGTAAGACCATCTTGCCTGCCTGGCCTTGAGGACGTCGGCGAGTGGCATGTTGCTGACGATCGTGCAGTGTTTCTGGCTCTCCATCCTGTTCTACTACTGCAGCTTGGGTTCCATCAAGCTTGCTCTACTTCTGCAGTACAAGTCACTGGTTTCCGTGAAATCAAAGACGCTGATACTCGTCGTCACGATCTTGATCTCAGCTTGGAGCGTGTCACTCATCCTAGTGTCGATTTTTAACTGCTCTCCGGTGTCCGGGTTCTGGAGACATGACATTGGGGCTACTTGCATTCCTACTCTGCCACTGTAGGTTATCCGTTGTTCTGGATAAGCACCCTTCCAGCTGCGAAGCAAGCAGAGTTCGGGCCAAAGGACTATGAGTCGATGCTGACTATCTAACAGCTGGTATGTTAATGCGGCAGGAAATATTCTGACGGATCTGATAATATTTTCTCTGCCCATCCCATTTGTGTGGAAGTTGAACATGCCTTACTCGCAGCGATTGTCGCTGCTCTGTGTGTTCTGCCTTGGTTTCTTGTAAGTCCCATGCTTCCCGATCGTGCTGTCAAATGGTGCCATGAAGGCTGACCTCGACGTTAGTACATGTGCCCTATCCGTGGTCCGAATCGAGTTCCTGAACCTAGGGGATGACCCGACTTACAACAACGTAGCACCTGCCGCATGGTCATTTGGAGAACTCTGTGCCGGTGTTACCACCGCTTGCCTACCTACCTTACGGCCCCTTCTCTTCCGAGTGGTGATCCCAAAGCTATCGTCAACGACCGCCTTCTTGAGTCGCAAGACGCCACTACGCAGCAGGAGTTCCTTCCGGTCAGCTTCGGGTGCTGCCGTGGAAGACGTCGAGGCTGGGCTGGCGAACGGTGCGTGTGAGATGGCAGTGACTAGCAAACATATGGAGGAAGCCATGGACTCTCCCGTAACTACGAAGCAGGAGTTTCGGAACGCAATGTAGTTGCACGGCGGTTTCGTTCCTCTGAGCCTATCCACCAGCACATGAATAATGATAATACTACTGTAAAATACTAGGCGCACAAGGTCAAAGAAGATGCTTCATCTAAAGTAGGCCCATGAAATAGCCGTAACTGTAGTATGAGTGCTGGTATATGTTCCACAAGAAGGCATGTTCCGACCCAAACTTGGAAGGCCCCCAAGGATCGATGGCCTACTGTGAATCACATCAGAGCGTTCTGGAACATTTCATCCTTGCGCAATTAGGTTCCGCACTAAATGATTCCAGTCTGGTCACGATGTACCAGTCTCCTCGTCGGCACCACCACCGCTGTTCTGAGCAGGCGATGCGTGTTTCGTGTCATCTAATCGAATGCTCCATCCACCGTGCCACCCAAACCATCCCTTTTCGTGTGGACCTCGTGCAATGGAGACCACAATCGCAAGACCGAGGAAAGCAATGTTACAGATGCCACTGGCCCTCCAGCCCCCACGAGCGTACAATGAGTTCCCGACAGCTGTCCCCGTAAGCTGCCCCGTGAAACCCGAAATCATGTAACAAGTATTGACCCGGTTCCTCGCCTTGGGATTGATGTCGTTGATGTTGGCCCGGTTGGCGATGTTGCAAGCCTGGGTGCCCAAATCGATGGTGATGGCCTCGATGATTGGTCCGGCAACTGTAAATGTGCCGATAAAAGTCCCAGCAGCCACCCCAGCAAGCTCAATACCGATCCCAAAGAGACAAGAATAGAGTGGTTGTATCTTGTCGATGACCAGGCGACTATACACAGGAGCCAAGAAGATGATCACGATGCCAATTAGGGCAAAGAGACCTATGATCAAGGAGCTGTATTTGAAAGGAGGGGACGAGAGCAAGAATGAAAGGGTGGTCCAGAACGAAGTGAAAATTGCGCTCATAAGAAACGTAATGACGCACACCTGCACCAGCAACGGCTCAGTCAGGAACATTTGGATGATACTCCACATGAACTTGAACCAGTTCAGGCGTCCGGGGTTCTTCGAAGGATACTCCGGCATGAAAAAGAAGAGCAGGATGAGAATACACCACTGAGCGCCAAAGGCGAACCAGTAGACATTGCGCCAGTCTGTATAGTTCGCGATGATTCCGGCGAGCAACCGAGCAACCAAGATGCCCAGCGACAAGCCGGATATCACGATCGACAGACAGCTAGCCTTCCTGTTGGGTGGTGCCAGGTCTCCAACCAATGGCAACATCAATTGGGGGGTGACGGTTGTCATGCCGCAAATAAAGGAGATAGCTGCGAAGGTGTTGAATTGTGGAGTGAGGCATAAGCCAAGCCACTGTGTGAGTAGGGTGGTCAGTCCATGCCTTGATCCTGAGAAAGGCGCTGGGGAAGTGCAGGCGCACCATCATGGCCGTGAACATTACAAGGGCCAGTATGTATGGTCTTCGGGGAAATATATCTCCCAACGGACATAGGAGGAGCAGGCCACATGCGTAGCCAGCCTGAATTAATCAGCTGTGTTACTGAGCAGTGATATGAAGGCTGTGTGAACGTACCTGCTGCAATGTTGCTATAGATCTAAGACGTGCCAGTCGTCAATCAAAGGGACGGCTTCTGGAACAATTCGGATCTTGACGGACGAGGAGCCATGAAAACAGAAGAATGGACATACGATGCTTTCTCAAAGCTGATGTCAAATGTGTTTGCAATTTGATAGAGGATTGGCTGTACATAGTACAAATTCGCAACTGTGATGCAGCCGGCCTGTGCGATGTACAACATTAACGCCCACTCACGCATGTGGCCCTTTGCACTTAGCCAAGGCTTACCAGAGCGAACAGCAGATTCAGGGACAAACTGAATTTAGGAGGCTCATTTGGGTTGTATCGACAGTTCTTGGGTGTCCATGTCACGAAGTCGCTCAGGCGTTTGAGAGTCGTTCGATGTTGTTGGAATTGGCTTGGCTCATTGGGGACGGAGTCTTGTCCGGAGGCTTGTTTGGTCTCTGCCATGCTTTCCACACGAGGACCGGCAGCATCCTCAACTGTTTCCCCAACGGGGCCCAAGCTGATTGCTGGTGTCGAGTTCGTATCTTTGCTATCGTCGCTCTGCTCGGGCGAGTCGATCGCCATCTTCGCCACCGTCTCCAAGAGCCGGCCTGCAGCGACAGATCAGGTATGAAGGTGGGTGTCCTGTTTGCTGGCTCTAAACACGGCGCTGTCTGAGAATCAAGATCTTGGTGGCGATGTGGCTGGCTGGGTTTTCTCATAGCTAAGTGAAGCTCTTCCTGTGCCCCCTAGCTCGTGCCAAGGTGGACTGGTGACGATATTTATCGAGCGGTTCGGTCCCCGGCATCTGAGCGGCAATCCATCCGGAATAAGATCCGGAGGGTAGGGGTTCGGACGTTTTAGCACCGAATAGCGGTGTGGGCGTAACCATGATCGGCGTTTACGGCTCGGGATTACTTCTACTACACACCATTACAAAGGGTGCATGTAGCGGATTGGGCAGGGTGCCGGCCCGTCCACGCCTGTGATGAATCGATGGCCAAGCCTTTGCCAACGAACAGCACCTCGGCCCGTCCACAGCGTCAACAATCTCATAATGCTCGAGGGATGTCTGGCTGTGGAATTGAAGGTCGTGGCACGGGATTTGGGCTCATATGACTTGGAGTTCATGTCCGCCCGTGCTTGGCATGTGACGATGAAGCCCTTTATCGGGGCAAAAGCGGTCGAATCTGAGTAAGACGGACCGTGATCGTCATACCAGGACGTCGATAGTGGCAGGAGAATATTGTTTGACCCTCTCGACCCAGATATGAACAATTAAAGAATGCAAGTTGATTTGTGCTGACAAAAAAAGTAATTTCTCTGTTTTGTTAACTACTAGAGTACTAGAGAAGGGTAGAACGGGTCCGGGTAAAGCTTCAAGTTCAGGTTGCCATCGACAAGCCACGATGGACGCAATGTTGCTGATGACGCACGCCGTTTTTGATTCATATTTTGCCAGAGTTCCTAGACATTACTGAGTGTATGGATGCCAGGATGAGGCCGTCTGGGAATGCAGCATCCGACTTGATCGAATTCGCGAGGGGACACCGAGATGTCATCCGGAACGCCCATATGGGCACGAGTTGACTGCAACATCCAATAGCACCGTCTGGAGCGATGCTTCCTAACCTTGTCCGTGCGGCATGAGGCTGTAGTCACGTCCACGGGTGTCTAGTATTCTCACACCGTTGTTGGCATCGTGTTTTTTTTACACCAAAATAGAACGCCGTGTCTTTGAGCGTTTGCCATTGTGCAAAGGGACCGTGGTACGCTTTCGGGATGTACATGTGAAAGCCACTTACTGCAATATCCAATTCGTCTGATTGATTCCCGAGGTCGCTACTCGGGGCAACCAACTTTCTGGAAACAGTATATTCATGGGAATGTGTAAATTGGATTTGACTTGATAGACCCGCCATAGCCTCCCGTGGCACCAGGGCAGCGCGGAAGGAGGGACCGATTTTGATTTTGATTTTGATTTTGAAGCTGTCCCAGGCGAGGAAGTTCACGATCTGGAAGTATGCGGCACCTTCCCATATTTGGCAGCTTTGCAATCACAGTGTAGAATCACAAGGGTTACTCGGACCGTTGACCTGGAATGAATGATTCTAAGCGTGCACACAATGTTGAGGCTCCCTAGGTATCCCCTGCCACTCCAGACCTCTAGGTGCCTAGGTGGGCCATTCAAGGTTTGAGTGTTGCTTAACTGACGCTCTTTCCAACGAAAGGAAATGGATATACCGTATCTCGTGACGCCGATCTGCCAGTGATTACCTCGGCGGGACACGGATGGCAATGTGATCCGGTGGAGGAATTTTGACATATGGCTCTACAGCACACCACGAGGACCAGATCCATCCAAGTACGGTACCTAGGTAGAGTGGATTATTTCCTGGGATGGCACATGCAAGTGTCACTCAAGCGGTGTCCGTTGCATAAGTGGCCCTCGAGAAAGCGCTTCCAGCCCGAGAGTGCTCAGCCGTCGACTAATCTACTTCCAAGCCTTCTTTATCCTGATGCCTGCGGTCGAGCCCTGGTCTCTCATATCCAGTCTCGCCACGTATACATATTGCATCAATTTCACCGAGAGATAAATGAATGCCCCCGCCAGAGACCAGGGTGCTATTCTGTAGTTAGAAGTAATGTCAAACGGCGCTGGAGCTGTATTTTCAGCTTTAAAACTTGTTCACGTAGAACACTGCAGAGAAAATTACGTACTCCAGAAATGGAAGTCTGAATTCAGGAATTGTTAACCTTAACCTGTACGCCAATACCTAGGTACACTAGTATTAACTTCCACACGAGCATGTGTCTTTTCGAGATGGTATCCACCCAGACTGTGGTCGAAGTTGCAAACTGTTGTATAGCAACTGACTCGAATTCTTTACTTCAGCCACCTCTCTGTGTGCAACAAATGAACTTTATTGCCGCCCAGCACTGCGAAATTCATGAGAGGAGGTTCCTCTCGCTGCGGCATTGATACGTCATGGTACGCTGAGCATGATATTGAGGCTCGACGCCACATTGCCGCCAATGAAAGAGGAGGCATGGTGACCTGGGTCATCGGCCCAGAATTTGCTGGGAGAAGAAGCCACACCATGTATTTCAGACAAACAGAACCGGCCAAATTAGGAGAACATTACAACTAGCTGGGTGTAGCCCGGGGCCTGAACCAATTGCCCAGGTGTGGACCCCCCCCCGTACCATCCCGAACCTGAGGTCTGCCGGGGCCTGAGAAGGCGGCTGGGCAGCCACAAGTGACCCCCGAGGACTTCCTTAACTCTGAGTTAGCAAATAAACTTATAAGCATGTAAAGATCTATTGGCTCTCTTACCTCCCAGTTTGCCAAGCATGCAGGGACTGCTAGAGTTTAGATACCCGAAGGCTTGTTCCAGCCGGGTTTGAGCATGTAACTGGAGCACGGCCTGATTTCTTGCACGACCGACCAAAGAAGAAGTCGAGGTCAACTTGCAATGCACTCAAACGCTGCACATGCATGTACGGAGTAGTGTACAGGATAACGATCATCATAGTAAGGGTTTAACCCCAGAACTGCAGCGCGGGCACAACAGCAACTTGAACTCCACCGGCCGAGCTGGCACTAACATTTTAAGACTGATGTCTGATGGGGACAGGCAACTCTACAACCCTGGCTTGAATCAAGGAACATGTCAGACAACATGACGATCTTGTGCGGCCAGGAGGTGAGACACTGGCTGACTGGGCGGCATGGGACATGAGGCATGTGGGCATGATGCATGGGGCATGATGAGCTTGACAATAGTATCGTTAGGCCCGCTGGTTTTCTGCTAGTGAAGCTAGTCTGATGGGTATGGCAATGATGGCCAGGCAGGGACAGGGCAGTGAAGCCACGGTTGACCTTGCTAGCGTGCTGAATTACCGGGAACTGACAGCTTCTCTGGGCCTGATTTGAGGATTTTGGGCCATTGCTGATCCGAATTTGGGAGTGGCCCCAGGATTGGGTCAGAGGAAAAGACCGTTTTTGTCTCGGTCCCAAACCGACCGTCTGGGTCCTGAGCCCTGACGTCGCTCCCCCGGCTTGTCTTAATTTTTTTAATCTCTCAGGATTTGTTGGTGTGGTACGGAGCACATAGTACGGAGTACGGAATACTGTGCAGGATGCTCACGACCAACCGTTTCTGGCCGTGTCCACCGGGTGCCCCATCCAGCGCGGACGGCCCTTCTTCAGCCCGGCTGGGCTCGCTAAATTGCTTGGGTGTTCCCGCTGGTGGTTATCTTCCCAGGGTTGTCTTCCGGCAATGTATGCCTGGCAGCGCCGTCCGCCGTCCACCGTCCACCGTTCACCGTCCAGACCGTCTGCTGGCGTCCGCCCACCGACGTCACTCTTGCGCCTCACAATCCACTTGGGGCAGCAGTTCCTGACCGGGGTTGTCCCAAACCGATCAGCCGCTCGTTCAACCGTGTTTGTTCGACGTTGCCTCCTGTCTGCCAGTGCCGCTCCGTCCACTCGCACTCACTCGCTCACTCGCCCGATCTTGGAATTTACTCCCCCAACCCACAACTTCTTGTCTGCCCGATTCTGCAACGGGTGCAGAAGCATTCCAGCCCACACCCCAGACTGTCGGGACCCGGGAGGAGCAAGGAATACATGCATGAGAAGTGCACGTGCTGACAAAGCCGTGTGCCAGCAAATAATCTGCACTGCGCAGCGACACAGGCAGAACTCGGTCGTGGACCCTGAGTCGTGATCGTGATCTTCTTCAGTCACTCACTCACTCACCCACTCAGCCCGCTTGCTTGCCCACGCCCTCCAACCTGGCCTCAACCAGTGCGCGACAAGGGGGAGGTCCGGTTCAGAACAGCCCGGCGCTGGGCTCTATTAGGAGGCAGCGAGGGCGTCGTGAAGTCGTGAACCCACCCTGCTCACCCCAGCCCTGGGCCTGATAGTCCCCGGTCTCATGGACGCAGACCGTGGTGGTGATGGTAGCAGCAATCGCAGCAGCAAGAACAACGGCAACAACAGAAACAGCGGGAACAGCAGCAGCTCTGTTGATGCGGCCGCGGACCAGATGGATGGGCTCGATGCCTTGGGTATCAGGGAAGTCCTCGACGCCGACTCACGCCCGACCTTCATCATCGACCTGGACCCGGACCAGCCCTCGCGCAGCGTCAGCACCTGTGTCTCACCCGTCTTCTGCAATGCCGCCCTGCGCTCTCACGACCGACTGCTTGATGCCGTCCTGGGCCGTGACACACCTGCCACCACTGCACCGCCTCCGCCACCACCACCAGCAGCAGTCGAGGCCATCGCCGAGCCCTCGGATTCATTATCAGCATCTATCCGTCCCGCCTCAGCCTCGGGACCGCCCCTGCCTGACCTCGACTCAGGCTCAGGCCATCACGGCCCTGACCCCGGCGGGAGTCATCACTCACTGCGCCAAAGCCATGATGCCTTCAAGCTTTGGGTGACTGGCGTCACCACCCATGATGACTCCAAGGATGTCTTCCCCCTCTCATATATGTACCACGAGATGCTCTGGACCGGATCCACAGTGCGCAAGCGGTGGCGCATCATTAGCGGTAACCGACTATGGCGCGCTGATGTCCCCGTGGTCAACCTGGCATCTGGGGCGCCCCTCGAGGTTGCCACCGGTGGCTCGCGCGCAAGCCAGGCCACCAAGAAGAGCCCTGAAACCCTTGGTGCAAGCCTCGAGTCCCTTGCCCACGACCAAGCTTCCGGCCAGCCCATGGTCGTGTCTTCTTCTTCGCCCTCCGCGCCCCATACCTCCTCCGACCCCGTCTTCTATCCCAGGACATCGGTCAACGGCTCAGTCCTGACCGGTTCCTCAAATAAGAACATAGCCATTGACCTCGCCACACTGCCAGAGAGGGCTACTATCGACTGGACCGTGCCCAACCCCGAAGGCCAGATATCCCAGCACCTGCAGTATGTGCGTGCAGTCGACTGGGGCGCCACCTCCCTGGGCCCCATGCATTCTTGGTCGGCAGAGTTCCGTCAAATTGCTAACCTCGTCATGACTAACCCCCATCCTGCGGCCCTGTTCTGGGGCAGCAAGCTGACCGTCATCTACAACGAGGCTTACGCCAACGAGGTTGCCGGTAACAAACACGTATGTATCGTATCATCCGCTGTGTGCTGATGACCGCCCATGTCTGACCCAATGGCAGCCCACCCTCCTAGGAACAGAGTTTGCCGACTTCTTTGCTGAGATCTGGGACTACTGCGGCCCCCTATTCGAGGAGAGTGGCCGTACTGGAATTAGCGTTCGCAGGGACAACGACCCAATCTCCATCTACCGGCACGGGATGCTGGAGGAGACGTACTACTCCTGGACCTACGTACCCATCTACGCGTCCTCAAACCGGGAGCTCCTTGGCTTCTACAACGGGCCTTTCCAGACCACCAGCCTCGTTCTGAACCAACGCCGCATGCGGACGGTAAATCGGATCGGCGAACGGGCCGGACATGCAAAGACCATCAAGGAGTTCTGGAAGCTTGTGCTCGAGGGTCTCGAGGACAACCCCTGGGACGTACCCTTTGCATTGCTCTACTCCGTCGGCGAGGATAGTGACGACGAGCACTCGTCAACCGCCTCCGAGATATCGATATCCCTCAAGTCATGCCACTTTGAAGGGGCCCTGGGCGTTCCGGACGGACACATCGCGGCACCACAGCAGCTCGATCTGAGGCGCAGTCTAGAAGGCTTCGTGCCCTCGTTCCGGGAGGCTATGCGGACCAGGGAGCCCACCCTCCTGCGCGTCAGGGACGGCACATTGCCCGAAGCCCTGCTTGAGGGCATCGAATGGCGGGGGTTCGGGGACCCCTGTAAAGAAGCCATCATCTTCCCGGTGCGCCCCACAAACGCAGACAATGTCCTCGCGTTCCTTGTCTTGGGCGTCAACCCGCGTAGGCCGTACGACAACGAGTACCAGGCCTTTGCGACCATGTTCAACCGACAGCTTGCAACCTCCCTGGCCTCGACGATTCTGTTCGAGGAGGAGACCCGCCGCAGCAGAGATGCCGTCGAGGCCGCGCAGTTGGAGAGGGTGAAGCTGACGCAGCAGTTGGACCTCCAGGCCAGTAGGCTGCGTCGTATGACAGAGTTATCGCCTCTGGGAATGTTTCTGATATCTCCGGAAGGCGTCCTGCGGGAAGCAAATGACAGGTTCTTTGAGATGACGGGCCACACCAGAGACTCGCAGTATGAAATGTCATGGATGGACTTCATCATGCCCAGCAGCACACGAACGATGGACGATGGCTGGCACCGGCTCGTCAACGAACATCGGCCCTGGTCAGGCGAGCTGCAGTTGAAGATTCGCAAGGCAAAACCTCTGAACCTCCACGGAGAGGCGGTCGACTACTGGTGTATGTTCTCAGCGCAGCCCGAGATAGCATCGGACGGGTCTCTCCGGTCCGTGATGGGGTCCATTACCGACATATCTCATATGAAATGGGCACAGGGGCTGCAGGAGCACCAGCTCAGAGAGGCTGAGGAGACGCGCAGGCAGCAGAACGAATTCATCGACATCACCTCGCACGAGATGAGGAATCCCTTAAGCGCCATATTACAGTGCGCGGACGACATCACAGCGGCGCTAAGTGAGTGCCGGAAGAGGTCGACAAAAATGACAAGCGATACCCTCGAGGCTTGTTTGGACTCGGCGCAGACAATCTCATTGTGCGTACAGCACCAGAAATCCATCGTGGACGACATCCTCACCATCTCGAAACTGGACTCCAACCTCCTGCTCATCACCCCTGTCGTGACCCAGCCGAAGCAGATCCTGAACCGCGCCATCAAGATGTTTGAGTCTGAGTTACAGGCGAAAGACATCAAGGCGAGACTCGAGACTACCCCTTCATATACTGACCTAGATGTCGACTGGGTCATGGTCGACCCAAGCCGCGTTTTGCAGATCTTGATCAACCTTCTGACCAACGCCATCAAGTTCACAGCCCCATCCAAGACCCGCCTGCTGACCGTTGCCGTTGGCGCGTCTCTGGAACCACCGGCGCTGGATCACATACCAGGCTTCCAATACGTTCCGATCAACACCAGAGTCCCCGTCGCAGCGTCCGAGGACTGGGGCAGGGGTGAGCTCCTGTACATTAGGTTCAAGGTCCAGGACACGGGCTGCGGCCTCACTGCGGAAGAGAAGCAGATGCTCTTCCAGAGGTTCAAGCAGGCCTCGCCCAGGACTCACGCGCAGTACGGAGGCAGCGGCCTGGGCCTGTTCATCTCCAAGCGGCTATCCGAGCTGCATGGAGGCCAGATCGGCGTCTCGTCCAGCGCCGGGTCCGGGAGCCTGTTCAGCTTCTACGTGCAGGCAAGGAGGGCGGAGCCTCCAAGCGAGGAGCTGGACCAGAAGCTCCCCATCGAGCGGCACATGGGCGGCGACGCGACCCTGCGCCACCAGCTCACGCCGCAGCGCCAGGACCTAGCCTCCGCGGGGGGGCCGGCCGCCAGCCTGGTGGCGACACGGGCGAGGCGGACGATAGACCCGACGGCGGTGCACATCCTCGTCGTCGAGGACAACCTGATCAACCAGCGCGTGCTGGCCAACCAGCTCAAGAAGATCGGGTGCACGGTGAACCTCGCCAACGACGGCATCGAGGCGCTCGAGTTCCTCCAGCAGACGCGCCTGTACAAGTCGGACTCGGGGGTGGTGGGCAGCACGCCCTTGGACGTTGTGCTGATGGACTTGGAGATGCCACGCATGGACGGTAAGCCAACCGCCAAACTTTTCAGCCAGCCCCTCACCCTCCCTCACCCTCACCCTAACCAATAACCAGGCGTGCGTGCCATATAGCCCAGTCAGAGATAAGGTGTCACCCTCAGCTAACTTTGGGTTTCTTCGCCCCTCCCAAATAGGCCTCACGTGCGTGAGGGAGATCCGCAAGAAGGAAGAACAGGGCGAGATCGTCAAGCACGTGCCCGTGATCGCGGTCACGGCCAACGTGCGCGACCAGCAGGTGGCGACGGCCAAGGAGAGCGGCATGGACGACGTGCTGTCGAAGCCTTTCCGGATCCCGGACCTGCTCAAGAAGGTCGAGGTGCTGCTGCTGGCCGAGACGGCCCAGGCTGAGGCGCACATCCCTTGAGAGAGAGAAGGAACGTGGGAAGTACGTGTGTGTGTGTATGTGTGTGTATGTGTCCTCAAATACCCTAGGGCACGGAGCAACGCCTTCTAGAGGTTGCATTGCCAGCATGAAAGGCCACATTCTGTGGACGTATGTTGTCTTTTAGCGAAGTTTAGGAGTTTAAAGACATTGAACAAGGTGATCAGAAGAGAAGAAATCTTCATCGCATGTGGGCTTCGGAATTTGAGAAAAAACGGCCTTCCTACATGAGGTGGGAATACCAGGGTAGAGCGGAAATGATTTCTCAGCTACTTAGCCATGATATATCAATACCCATTTGATTATTTATCACCAGACATCGGCTTGTAGTGCTTGCTGGCAGCCGTCTGGAAGCTTCGCGGCTCGTTATTGTATAATCCCTGGCGCCAATTCCTTGCCATGACGCGGCTGTCACTGGATTGAATACCACTGCAAGGCCGGGGCAGGCGTGTGGGTTCGAATAGTCCATTTCCATATTTTACTTCCTTGCACCAACAAACGAAAAGGTTTTGAATTGTAGAAACATACGCTTCTGGCCCTAGTACTTTCGGGCTAAGACGGACAGATGCTAGAGTGTGTGCGGCCGGTGTCCGGCCTCCGGCCTCCCAACTAGTCTCAAGCTATAGACCGCGCCGGTCAACAACAGCACTTGAGTCCTCACTTGACTCGGTGTTATAAAGGTTTTAAGGTCAGGACCTATCAGCGAAGTAGCTCAACATACATGGTACTTTCTAATGGTGAATCTCCCCAACAGTCTTCGGACACTTCGCTTTTGTGGGTTGGTGTCGGGTTCGAGCCCTCATTGAATCCACTGTTTTCCTTTTTCTTTTCCCGACGCCCGTACCCCCCAACCCCTTTTCTCAACTCTTGTTTGATGGATTCTTCATTTCCGTTCTCCGGAATTATCACACTCGTTTAGTTTTAAGCTTGTTCTTCGTCATAAGGCGAATTCCTGTATGGCATGGTTAGAATCATTATGGGAACATGTTGGTTATGGCAACGCATATGTCATGGCCATAGAGTTTGAATTCCTTCGTCCTTGATCCGTATACATTCTGAAGGCGTACGCTCCCGTAATATGTTTGCAGGTGATCAAAGACCAGTACTGATGCAGACTAAGTGTATAAATGCCGGAGCGACAAGAATGACACGAGGAAGGGGAAAGATAATAAATGTTAGACAAACGCAGCACTGGCATGTATCAATACCCACTTGATTTTTATCAAGAATCAAATATAATATTGTACTTGCCCACCGTTATGCGCCTTGTAGTACTGTGGCTTGCTATGGTGTAGTCTCTCACGCCCACTGACCGATCATCCCGCGGTGCGGCTGTTATTGGACCTATAAAAGTTATCATTACATCTATGAACCGGTAGCTTCTACGATCCTGTACTGCAAGGGTCATACCAGGTCATACCCCTTCATCCAAATCTGTCATCAAATATGAGCTAGTGTGACGGTCAAGCGGCATGTCAACCGGTGAAAGTGCCAGCGCCGTGTGACTCATACGCATCAACATGCCTTCTTTCCTTCCAGCCGCGCGAAGGAATGAAGTAATGAGATGGTTTACGCCAACTGCAGTTCTGTCATATGAGACAATGCAGGCTGACGTGAGGCCAGCCTCTTTGTGGGTCCGCCCCAGGTCAACGGAAACCTGCCCGGATGTGTAACCAGACTCACTCCTCGGCCAGACTGCCAAACTGCACCGGGGTGACTAGCAGTCTACACATTCTCAATATAACAAACCACACCAAGCCTCTTTATCCCACGATTTCTCCTCCTCGGCTGTAAATTATTTTTCCTTAGTTGTTCCCTTAAAGCTACCAACAGATTCCTTATCTACCTCGCCAGAATGGGTTTCACCGACTTCCCCCAGGATGCTGGTCTAAATGGTGAGCTCATCTTCATATTTTCCTCTTATTTTCTGTCCTCCTACGAGGGATTGAATTACAAAAGACCTTCCTACATATCCTAACCGGACAGCTGACCAATGACTCAGACCTCAACACATGGTTGAGCACTCGATCCTACATCATCGGGTAGGTGCTCTCTTTTTTATCGCTGTCCGAAGATTCTTATCCAGCGAGGTGGCAGATTGTAGTCCCACATAGATGGGATGCCCTGCCTCCTCGACTGCTCCGAATCTTGCACCGTGGAAACAGGAGGCTCGATCCGCTGCCCTTCCTGCCCTTTGATGACGAGAGCAGTCTGTCCATATTTCTGCCCAGAGCCAAGACGAAGGGATGAGGACATGGGAAAGCATTCTTTGCATCTCTGAATTCCTATACAAAACCTCCTGTTTGAGACTGTTTCCTAGTCAGCATACTAACCTAACAGGCTCCAGTCACGCAGCCTCCCAGGCCGATGTCGCCTGTTTTCAGGCCCTGAAGCAGAGCCCCGACGCCGCCGAGCACCCGCACGCTGCCCGCTGGTGGGCGCACATCGCCTCTTACGAGGCCGACTTCACGACGCTGCCCGGCGACGCCTCCAAGCCTTACACCGCCTACGGCCCGGATATCGTCGCCGCCGAGGCGGAGGAGAATGACGACGTCGACTTGTTCGGCAGTGAGGAAGAAGAGGAGCAAGATGCCGAGGCTGCACGCGTCCGCGAGGAGCGCCTGGCTGCGTACAAGGAGGAGAGGGCGGGAAAGCCCAAGGCAGCTGCCAAGTCCGTCGTTATCATGGATGTGAAGCCCTGGGGTGCGTGCTACCATACTTCCTTTGCTCTGCGCCCTCTTGTATGCTTGACACTGACCAATTCTCCACCCAGATGACGAAACCGACATGCAGGCTTTGGAGGCTTCCATCCGCGGCATAGAGAAGGACGGCCTTGTCTGGGGTGCGTCTAAGCTGATGCCCATCGGTTACGGCGTCAAAAAGCTGCAGATCAGCCTGGTCGTTGAGGATGAGAAGGTATCGCTTCAGGACCTCGAGGAGGAGATTGCGGGATTTGATGACTATGTCCAGTCTACCGATATCGTGAGTAACCAATCGAGAAGCATGGGGGTGAGCTTGATGCTAACTGTGCCGATATCAGGCTACCATGCAAAAGCTGTGATGTTCACACGGCCGAGGCTTATCAAGGAGAGACTGGTATCCGCTCATTGGATGATTTGTGACTCCTTGAGGCATGGCACCTACTATATGATCATGACAGGTGGTTTTGAGGGTCTGAGAAGGACAGACGAATATGTCGAGGGATTCTACTCTAGAACTTAACATGTATAGAGAGCGTGTAATCTTTACACGTCGTGGCAGTCTGTGCCTGATCTTTCACAGAATGTGCTACACTGTCCATGGATCATGCAATTTCACGAGATTATTCCTCCTGCATATTCCGAGGATACGCCTTTGAAGATGGACTATCTTATGTTCCTCCTTTATTTCATTGTTTTTGGACCGACGTTCTAGTTGTGGATTATCTCAACACATGGCACATGACAGTTCAGCTCTTGGTTAAGGCGATGTCAATGGTATTTCCTGTCATATCATATTTCTCTTATGACCCTTGGAAATTCGCTCTCTTTAATGTCTGCTACTTGGAACACAGGTCCCCTAGCAATAGACCCGCTCCTTGGAAATGATGCACAGATTTTCGAAAGTCTCGTAGACGGTCGAGTTGTTCCGGTTGCTTCCAGGCATATTAATGTACTCGGTTCTAGGGCGGGCTGAACGGCATGGTAAGTCTTGCCGACGAAGGGGAAATACTAGTAACGATCAATTTAGAGTCTAGATCCCGAGAGGCATCTTGTCGGGCTACCTAGGTAGTCTTTCTCACTCACGCTGGCAGAGGCATAACTGGTGACGACAACGTCCTTAAGCTTGCCAAGTCACCTGGCGTGTCCTAGCCTCATGAATTCAGCATGGGCCTTGTCTTTTGGTCGAGCTGTGTGTTGGTGTTTGCGCCATGGGTGTACACATATAGGTGGCGTTGTTAGAAACGTTACAGTCACTTCTCTTCCACAAAACATCAATTCGAGGTAAATCAGCTACTTCGACGCAACACAAATACCCCCCTACACCGAAGAGATTGATCGGAAGAGGGTCCGGGCCAGGGGACGAGATGATGGGGTTGAGGGAGAGGCGACGACAGTGAGAAGGTTGATTTGATTGAGGTTGAGAAAATCGACGGAGGGAGTTGCTGCAGGCGGGGTGCCTGATTCCCGTCGGCCATTGCTGGACTGAGACGGGTAGGTGTTCCTTCCGTTGTAGACTCTGGAGGGAAGGACTGGTGCGCTCAAAGACCACGATACCGCGCTCAACGACCACGACACCGCGCCCAACGACCAAACTGGCGAGCTCAAAACCCTCACTGCCAGGCTCAAGACCGCCGTTGACAACCTCGCAAGCGACTCTGAGAGTACCGATTTGATTATCCAGGGTGTCAACCAGCCCTGGAGATTGGAAACTTGACCGAAGACATCAACACCAAGTTGGGACAGCTAGTATCCGCATCGAATGTGGCATCGTCGATCGCCTTCGCGGCAGACGGGTCAACTCCGGGCAGTAGAGGCGACGGGCGTGTCGCCCAGCCTGCCCCGGCTCAGAACGACGCTGTCGACCATGCTGGCGGAGCGAACACTGGAATTCGCCAACTTGGGGCCCCAATGCAGGACCCGGACGGACGTTCTCTACGTCTCTCTTCCATGACTCCGTTCAGATTCCCCCCCCAGGACATCCTTCTCGCTTAGACTATACTCCTTAAAAATCAAATGATTGGAGCGCGCATGCGCGCATACAGGCGGTATGATGATTCCTTCATCTGCTCTTACGTGTATTGGTATGACAGTTTGAGTTATTTCCCATTTTAAAGTGCATCGGGCGGGCCACTTCGCATCGCTTCAAACCGAGTTGATCTCTTATGGGACACCCTCCTATGGAACACCCTCCCATAGGACAACCTCCCATAGGACAACCTCCCATAGGACAACCTCCTATGGGACAACCTCCTATGGGACAACCTCCTATGGGAGAAGCTCCTATGGGATGACCTCCGTTGGTATACTATCTTGTGGCCTAACCTTCTGTAGAGAAATCCCAACGCTAACGGCGTCCATGCCATCCTTGTCGAACTTGTCTAGACGACGGCTACAGCAGTGCCTTCCAGGGCTCCGAAGGGAGAGCCACTGAGCTGGTTATACTAGCTGTTCATTTGGGTCCTACTGTGCAGACTATGCTGATCGTCTTTTGTTCTAGGGAAATCAGGATGTAATTCGAGAAAACGAGGCCCTCGGTACCTAGGTATGTGGCTGTAGGATCATCACTAGATTTGCCAACAGCAACGACACACAAGATTGTATACTGCGCGCATCACGAATGTCATATAGTGTGCTGGGACTTGTACAGTGATATTGTCTATGTAAAAGCTGAAAATTGCTTGTATGGGCAAGAAAAGGGGGTCTGGAAAGCCCCAATCGATGTTATACAGTACCTAGATATTTGACTCAACTGACTGTGTCTCACTTGCCTCTTGAAAGAGAGGCTCGTTGGACATCATGTGGATGTCAATCGGCTGGGTCGCGGATGGGGACTGGACGCTATGCGCGCCTCTGGCGCTTGGCTGGATTGACCTCACCGTCGCGAAGTGCGGCAATGCCTCGTTCCACGCCTTGTTGTCAGCTCGATGAATGCGAGCTATCTTCTTCTTGAACTCATCCTTTGGCAGCATCCTCAGCTCTTCCATTTTCTCCTTTGAAATTCTTGTATGTACCTTGCCGGTCTTCCGGCTGACGACGAACTTGTTCGGGTCAGCGTAGTCTCGATCTGGGAAGGGGGTCGGCTCGAAAGGGCCGATCTGGTCGGCAGTCACTTTGACCGCCTCACCTTCATCGTCGAGAGTGAGGCGGTCAGTAATACCTCGCGGCACCTAACACAAGTTAGCCACCATGACTGGATCAAAGACAGTGTGATAGACTACATACGTTTCCAGGGGGGAAAGGTTGGGGCGAAGCATCTGGCATTGGTTCGGCTTCGAGTTCGGGCGTGCCGACGGTAGTGTTTGTTGCCTATGTAACTATCAGTATTGGGGAGTGACGCGGGTGTGGTTGAGACCAGGCTTGAGCTTACATCCAGGAGAGCTCCACACCCAGAGACAGGGCAGACAGGATCACCGGAGGTGGCCTCCACCCATTTGTCAAATGCTGGTTGATTGATACCACAACCGCAATGCGGCATCATGTATAGTGTGTGGCGGTCGTTAATAACCAGCTTCGCGACGCCGAAGGCGCTCATGTCGTCTTCGTCAAAATGGTCGAGATGGGGGTGGGAAGGAATCGGAGTATTGTCCGAAGGGGGCGATTTGGGTGGCTGGGCCATCCCAGAAGTCGTCATCCACAGCAGAACAAACGTTCCAGAACAACGCATTCTGAAGGTCGTGGACTGCACCACCAGAGACAGCCTTCAGGTTGGACTGCACCTCGCCATAGTGTGCCTGTTGAATCTATGTCAGTCCTAGCTGTTCAAGTTGTTGACAGGCAAGATTACATACAGCCTTGATCTGGCCTTGACGGCAGACCGGACAACCCCAAGACTCAATGGTGGCATGCTGGCCGTGGCTGAGCATGTCGCTGAGTGCCTTGGCCGCGAAGGCATGATTGCAGGGGAGCTCCAGCATCTCGGTACCGTCTGCGACGTCACATACGAGATGGCGCACTGTCGCTGAGACAAAGACTGTGCAGCGGAATCGGCTCGGTAGTACTTGAAGACAGTGTTCCAAAGTTGGGATACCTGCCAAACTTTTCGGCGGCCACCTGACGCTGGCAATGTGCGTACTGAAGGGTGTTCAACGCAGCCTTAAGAGACTTGGGCTCGTCCTCGCTGGCTGGGAGGTAACCCAGCTCCCTTTGGTGTGCCTTGGTTAGGCCTTCGAGGATGTTCTCAAGACGCGGCATGTCCTCTTCGCTGCATGGTGCAGCGGGTGGGAGCGGGGTTAGCTCGGCGTGTCTAAGAACGACCTGGTCGGACGTAGGCGGGGTTCGAGCTGGCTGGGTCGAGCGACGAACACCAGGTCGAATTGTTCCAGAATGAGTGTTGTTGGTACACGGTAAGTGGGCAGTTGAAGGTTGTTGCCCAAACGGGTTGGTGTTTTGGGCGCCGCCTGGTTGCTTACGTAATCCATCTCATCATCCACAGCTCCTCCCACAGCTCCTCCCACAGCTCCCCCCATAGCTCCTGCACCAACCCGTCCAAGTCCTGGCAGGCCACCCAAATCGCAAAGATCAGACTACCCAATCCAAAAGGCCACCAAGGCGCCTGCCTATAGCACCTCAATTCAAACGGAACTGCGAGACAAAGAGGGATGTCAGCCCCATACCTAGGTAACTACTGTATATCTTAACGGGGCTGAGCGCTGCGTTTCAACCTCTCTGGGAATCACTTCAAACACACCATCATCTTCAATGTTAAATGACATCTTATAGGAGACCCCCTACGAGACAGCTTCCCATGCTCTTGATGGATAGCCTCCTACGGGTTTTTCTGTAGACCTCCTATGAGACAACCTCCTATGGGATAACCTCCTTTGGGATAACCTCCTATGAGATTCCCTGGAAGCAACAGGCCCCATCACGTGGAGACGGACCCACGCCTACCACATCCGAGCCCCTGCCATGGATTGCTCTCTCATGCACAGATGCGGCCAGGAGGCTTCGGCCAATCTGGTTTGCTCACACCGCACTCTTGGAAGGCATGGTGTCGACGCCCACACGCACGTGCGACACCAGCAGCGCGCCCAGCAGTCAATGAAGATACGCCGACGGAGAAAGCCACCAATGCTGCGTCAGGAGTTGGATGCTGGTCTGCGGATGTTGTCTGTTGGCCGGGCCGACCCACTCTGCTTAATATTCTGCATCCTCGACCCCACGGCCGGGCCTGGCCAACTCGATAATACTGAATGCAGTAGGCCTCTGACTTCAACTCCGGCTTCATGCAGTCCGCGGGTCGAATCACCCAACCCGGTGATTTTGATTAATGACAGGCAAACCTCTCACCCGTAGACGAGGCTGCAAGGCTATTAATTAACGACGCAGATATGTAATAAGCTGTGTCTTGATCCACACCGACCATGGGGTCCACAGCTGTACAGGGGCTGCTTGAGCTTTCCATTCGCTGAGGTCCAATGTCCGTGTCAGCGGCATTTCAATTAATTGATATGTCTTCTTGTCAGTGGAAAAATGATGTGTTATCACCGAATCCCGAATTGGCATGCCGCCTTGCAGAACCTCAGTAGGCACCAAATTCGGTTGCCAGGACCTGCCAGACGTTTTTAATGCCGACATTAGCTGCCACACATCCATCCTTCCATGAGATTCTTACAGATTTTGCATTCACACCCCGGCGTGATCGTCGGCTCGGTAAGCATTGTGTTCGAAACGAGGTGTGTCGCTTGGGCAAGCAGAATGTGAGCAACGATCCGGTCGTCGGTGGAGGGCGGCAGCACCGTTTAGCGACCGGCGCTGTTGGCATCGCCGTCACAAATCCGCGCGCCGAGAAGTGGAGCCCCGTGATAAGGGATTCTCGCTACTGAGCAGCGGTGCGCCCAACAGGCATCGAGGTACTTTAGGAACCGTCACGGTGACTCACCAGTATTGCTGTCAAACCTTACGTCTTTATCTCAACTCGGCGCTCTTCGGGATGGGATGGATCAAATTAATCCATACTACCTATGGGCGGGCAAAAGAAGACCATCCTTGATGTGAGCCATGAAGTACACGACGTTTCGTGAGAGTACATATACAATATAAGTTCCTTTCTGACTGTCTCTTGTTCCCGGAACATTCTGGATAATACCCAAAGACCGCCAGTGTGTTATTTTATCTCCACTCACAGCCTCGTCGACTTTCTTTGGTTTCCTAGGTCTTCCCATTGCTGCCAAGACGATGAAGTCGGTCGTGGTTGACAATCCCTCACCCGGGGCTGACGCTGTTCGCGATATTGAAAAGTTTACTCGGTCAACAACTGAACCCGTTCCAACCTCATCAGAGTTATCAAGCCCTCCGTATCCTCCGCAAGATGGTGGGATCAAGGCCTGGCTTTTCCTCCTCGGTGCCTGCATCGTCGAAATAACCGCCTGGGGTACATCATCCATCTTTCAGTTTCCGTACTTTGAGCGCCGTCTCTTTCAAACCATGTTACATTGGCTGACAGCCGGCTCACCTAGGATTTCCTTACTGTTATGGAGTCTTCCGCGAATACTTCGTCACCCATGAGCCGTTTCAGGGTGACTCCCTCGTCTCAGTGGGCGGCATGCTCTCAAATGCAAGCCAAACCCCTGTCGATAGTATCGTACCTCGCATTGCTGAAAGCCGATCCTTGGCGCTTTACGGGGTGTTCTGCAACTATCACTTCCCCCTATTATATATTTGTTGAATAGCTTTCCCTCCCAGCGAAAGAATGCCAGGTGGCTCGGCTGTCTTATTTGTACCGGTAGCGCTATTGGCGCCGCCTTCACCACCACCGTGAGTCTGTTTCCCACCCACTGCAACTTTGGTCATGGATTTCCTTCTTCTTTTGTGAGGGCGGTTGAAAAGAGAAAGTCGGTGCTGAGATTTTTTAAATTCATTAGGCTTCTGCTTTAATTATCTGTCTCGGTTTGCTCTACGGTATCGGCGCAGGTCTTCTCTTCGCCCCGTCTATGCATTTCATGGGTGACTGGTTTGTCAAGCGCAAAAGTTTCGCCTACGGTATTATGTGAGCAACTATCCCTATCGAGATCGTCTGCCTTCTCTATTCCATCAACTCTCTGACTTGTGACTCATCACCAGTTGTGGTGCCGGAGCCGCTGCCGGAGCCGGCCTCCCTCCTATATACACGGTCTGCTTGAACAAGTACGGAGCCAAGGCGACCCTGATCGGCTGGGGCTTCATCACCTTTGTTGTGACATCCATCGGGCTCCTCATGATGCAACCGCGCACGCCGCCGGAGCGGGCGCTCAAGCCGGAACGGTCGGACGTGGACTTCCTCCGAAAGCCACTGTTTCTCATCTTCCTCACGGCCACCTTCGCGCAGGCCCTGGCTCACTACGGACCCAGCACCTACCTGCCGTCCATGGCTGCCGACTTTGGGCTGACGTCCGTCCAAGGCTCTTTGCTCGTCACGTTGCTTAACCTGGCCCAGGCGATCGGTCAGCCCCTCCAGGGCATGCTCGCGTACGTTGACACACCCTACGTTTACCGTGTGCAACTTGTCCTCCCCCAGACTTCGTGCCCTCGACGAAGAACTGTACTGCGCCAATGGCTGACGGACCTCACGTGGCGAATATAGAGACCTCTCATCGTCCTTCTACGTCCCCTTCCTCATCAGTACCCTCGGCGGCGGCGGCGTCTCGGCGTTGCTGATATGGCCGTGGTGCCGCAACCTGTGGTCGCTGTCGCTGTTCTCCTTGTGCTTCGGAGCGACGGCGGGCGGCTTCGCGGTGCTGCGCCCGCGCTTCGCGGCGGCCGTCGTCGGTGACGACCAGGCCGCGGCCGCCCAAAAGAACTCGGGAGACGCCTCCGAGTCCGAAACGACGCCGGGGGACCCAGCGGCCGGAGAGGATAGCCGTTCCGAAGCCGAGGCGCGCCAGAGGAACAAGTCCATGCTCATATTCGGTGTATTCACGGCGGTGCGAGGTACGGCGGTCCTGGCGTCACGAGGACACCGATGACGTGAGCGGCTGGGGGAACGGAAGGCGGTGGAGAGACCTTATAATCTTTGTGGTTTTGCTTCTATTTCGTATATATCTAAGGATATATATAGTGCCTTTATATAGTGGTAAGTACTTAAAACTTAGTGCTTAAAAAGAATATAATATTAATAATAATAATTATAATATAATAAATATTTATAATTTTAACTTTATAATATATAAATAGAGTTAGAGGGTATTATTTTAATAATAATATTAATATTATAAAGGAGTTATATAGTGAGATTAAGTTTTTAAAAATAATTATTATATAAATAAATTATATTAAAGGAAGCTTAACTAAAAATCGTCCCTTTAAATATATATATATATATATATATTAATAAGACCTTTATTAAATAAGTATTATAACCTTTATTTAAATATATAATTAACTTTAAAAGAATTTAAAATAAAAATAATTTATAATATATTATCTTTAAGAGTTTTATAATAAAATATTAAAACTTTTAAAGAAAGTTTTAAAAGTAATTTATAAGAAAATAAAAAAAGGGTATAATAAGTTTATTTTTCTTTAAGTTTATATTTTTATTATTAATAACTATTAATTCCTTAATAGTATAGAAAAGTATAATAGAAATAAAGGAAAGAGTGGATTTAAAGTTTCTTTATAAGAGGACTATAAGGATATATATAAAGTTATTAAAGACTTTATATATAAGCTTTAAAGGGAAGAAATAAGTGGTTATATAGTATAAAGGAAAAATATAGTGTGGTTGAAGCCCTTATGATCTATACTGGCGTAATTATGCTGGGAGCTTTAGGAAAGTTCGTGCCGCACAATAAAAGGTTTGGGGGGAAATAGATGGGAGTTCGACGTTAAGGCTGTTGGAAGGCACGGTCGGGTCTGGCTGACTAAGCCAACTAACACTTATACCCGCTCCTTCTAAGCGCTAGGAGAGATCATAGACTTATATTAGAAGGTATAGTTAGGTCTGGCTGACTAAGCTAACTAATACTTATATTCACTCCTTTTAAGCGCTAAGAGAGATTATAGACTTCTCTTTAATATTAATTAATAAACTATTATTTACTTAAATAACTTATTAGGTTATAAGCTTAATATTACTTAATATATTTTTATTTACTTATTTTTATTAATATCTATTAATATTAAATTATTTTATAATTAAAAATTATTAAAATATAATTATTATAAAGTTAGATTATTAATATTATTTATACTTCTTAATAAATATTATATATTTATATAATCTATAATAATTTATTATTTTTACTTTAATTTTTATATTAATTAGTATTAATTTAAAATTATTTAAATTAATTTAATTATTATTTAAAATATTTAACTTTAACTTTAAGTTTAATCTATTATTATTATTTAAGTTTAATTTAAAAGAAAAACTATCTTAATTAATATATTATTTAAAGTTAAACTTTTACTTTACTAACTTTAATAATATTATTATTAATATAAAGGCTAAGCTTATTATTAGTAAAGCTTTTATAAAATAATAAAAATAAAATAACTAAACTTTTATTATACTTTTAAATACTATTTATTTTAATTTAATAATATATATTATATTATATAAAAGCTTTTATTAGTTTAAAAGATTTTAAAAATTATTTTAATTATAATATTAAAAATTTAACTATTTACTTATTTTATTAATTAATTAATTTATATTATAAAAATAGTTTTAACTTATAGGAATATTTTAATTTATTTTATTAACTTTAAATAAAGCTTTTATTAAAACTTTAATATTTAATTAGTTTATAATAAAATTTATAAAATCTTTATTTAAAAATAATAAAATTAAAAGTTCCTTTTTTATAATATTATTTAATATAATAAATAATATTATTAATAATTTTAATAGTTATAAAATCTTAAAATTCTTTAATATTAAACTTAAAATATTAAATATTATTATTTATTTAAAAGTTAAGTAATTAAAAGTTTATTATATTTTAACCTTTTAAAAAGGTTAATATTAATTAATATTAAAAACCTAAAAGTCTATATTATTTAATATTAACTCCTTATTAAAAATCTAATAAAAGGAATATATATAATATTAATCCTATAATTTTATCTTTATTAACTACTTATATATAAACTATAATAAGTTAGTAAAATATAAAAAGAATAAAAAAGGAAAAGAAATAAGTTACTATTAATTAAATAAAAGATAATATAATAAAATTTTTAATAATAATAAAAGATATAGTATTTTATATTAATATTTTAATATATATAATAAAACTTTTATTATTATTTAAAAATATAAATAAAATATTATAAATCTTTAATTTAAATACTTTAAAGTATATAATAGAATATATAGAAAACTTTAACTTACTTTAACTATATAGTAAAATAATTACTATTACTAGTAGAACTTATTTTATTATAAAAGGTATTAATATTATAAATATCCTTTTATAGCTTTTAATAAATTAATTATTAAAAATACCTTTACTAATATATTTTATAGTTAAAAATTAAGAAATACTTATTTATTTAATTAAACTATAATCTAAAATTAATTTTATATAAATACTTAAAGGAATAATATCTTTTATAATTAAAAATAATAAAATTAAAAATAATATAAATAAAATTTTATAAAAGAATTTTAAAATTTAAATTATTAATAATAAAATATTAAAACCCTTTTATTATATAAAGAATTTTATAAAATATTTAAATATAATAATGTTAATAAAACTTTTATTTAATAACTATATATTAATTTTAATATTATTCTAATAAAACTAAAAGTATTTAACTATAAACCTTATAAACTTATAAAGTTTGTTTAATAATATTTAAAATTACTATTAAAATAAAAATTAAAAATATTATTTAAAATTATTTATTTAAATTTCTTAAAATACTTTTAATAAGATTACTAAAAGGTTTTTAATACTTTATATTATTTATTAACGACTTTATAAAGTACTATTAGGTTTTTTTATTAAAAATAATTATATTCTTATAGTTATTAAAACTTTTATTAATAGTAGAGATATAATTTAATATAAAAATTAAAATATTTATTTCTAATAATAAAAGTAAATATATTAGTAAAATTATAATTAATTTATTTTATTAATAAAGAATTATTTATTAAAAATCCCTATTATATTATTATAAATTAAATAAAATATTTAAGTAATATATATAAATAGTTATTATTAATATTAAAATTATAATTTATAATAAAATATTCTTTATACTTTAATCTAAATATATTATATATTTAATTTACTTTAAAATTATAAATTATATTCTATATTACCTTATTAAATTATATTATTTAAAATACTATATAAAAAAGTCTAATATTAGATATTTTTAATTCTATTTTTATTTTTATTATATTTATATCCCTATAAAAGCTTATAAGTTAGAAATAAAATTAATAAATTAAACTAAAAGTATATTTTATTAGATTTAAAATAAATAGAAATTTAGTTTTATATTTATATATATTATTTTATAAAGTTATTATTATTATTATAAATAACTATATATAATAAAAGAAATATTAACTTATAATTATATAGTTAATTAGAAATTTAATTAAAATAATTATTAAACTAATAAAATAATCTCTTTAATTAATTATAAATTTACTTTTATTACTATTTTTATAGTTACTTATAATATTATTTAAATTAATTATTAAATATTCTTTAAATATTAATTTAAAAGGCTATTATATATAATCTTTATAAAAGTAAAAGCTAATATTTAATATATAGAAACTAACTTTATATTAACTAATATAAACTTTAACTTCTTTAACTTAATATTAATTAATACTAATTTTAATTTAAATAACTTAATATTAATTAATACTAACTCTAATAATAATAATTTAAATAAACTAATTACTATAATTATTAAATCTATTATATACCTATTAGTATTAACTAATACTAACTATAATAAATTATTTATTTTATTATTATATTTTTAGTAATTTAAAATAATAATATTTTATAAAACTATATATAAACCTTAAAAGTTTTAAAAGTTAAACTAATTTATTATTATAAAAAAGTTAGACTTTTTAAAGCTATAAGGATTTAAGTAAAAGTTTTTATTTATTATAATTAATATATTATTAACCCTTAATAGGTATATATAAAAACATAATATTAAGAGAAACCTTATTTATTATAAGGCCTATTTAATTATTTAAAATTTTATATAAATTTATAAAATTAATTATAATAATATTTATAGTTTAGTTATCTAATATAAAATACTAAAATTATTATTTAAATTATTTTAATAACTAAAATAAATTTTTAATAATTTAATATTAAAATAATTTACCTTTATAAATACTTAAAATATAATATTTATATATATTTATTATTTAAATATTAAATATTATTTAAAATATTATATTTAAAATCCTTTAAGCTCTATATAACCTAAAATAATTAAAATAAAAATAGTTTAGTAAATTATATAATAAACTTATTAAGTTTTATAATTAAACTATATTTAATTTATATATTTCTTTAAATAATAATATTATTATTACTATTTATATTAATAATATTTTAATTATTAGTTATTTTAATAATATTATTAAATTTAAGGTAATCCTTTTAAATAAATTTAAGTATATTAATATAAACCTTTACTAATATTTTTAACCTTAAAATTTATTAAACTAAAGCTAAAATCTTTATTTTTAATAAAGCTACATTAAATATATACTTTAATAATTTAATATACTTAATAGTAATAATTATTATACCCTAATAGATTTAAACTTATTTTTTAAAAAATAGTAATATTTCCATTAACCTTATAATATACTAGTCCTTTATTAATTTAATAAACTTTTAATAATAAGTATAAAAGTTAATTTTACCTTTTAATAGTTATTATTTTAATATTTAATACTAATTTAATAGAATAATATTTTATTATTAATAAGGATATTTTTATTATATTAAATAAACTTTAAATTATTAAATATTCTATTTTAAAATATTATATTTATAAAGCTTAATATATATAATAATATTTTATATAATATAAACTTAAATAATTTAAAATATTTAAAACTAAATTTAGCTTTTAATAAATTATTTATTATTTAATTATTAAAATATTAGTTAATAATTACTAAATTAACTTATAAAATTAAGTATATAGCCTATTTATTTATATTTTTACTTATATTAAATAATTTAAATATTATAAGATTTAAAATCCTATATATTAAGTATCTACCTATACTTTATATTAACAATTAACTTATATTAAACCTTATTTAAAATATTAAAATTACTACTTATTTAAAATATATAATTATTTATTATTACTTTATTTAAAAGGTATTAAAAGTATCTATAATATTAAATATATTCTATTTATAAAGAATTTTATAAATATTTATATAAAAATACTTTTAAAACCTATATTATTAAGTTTTTATTATTTATTAGGTTTATTATCTATTTAATTTCAATAAATTTAAAACTTAGCACTAATAGGTACTAATAAAATAGCAAAAGGGAGTTTAATAATAGGTTTATTAATTTAATAACTAGAATATTATACTATCCATATATTTTAAATATTTCTTATAATAATAATATTATTAATAAATAGGGGGTATATTGGAAGGCACAATTAGGTCTAGCTAACTAAGCTAACTAACACTTATACTCACTCCTTCTAAGCGTTAGGAGAGATTATAGATTTATATTAGAAGGTACGGTTAGGTCTGGCTGACTAAGCCAACTAATACTTATACCCGCTCCTTTTAAGCGCTGGGAGAGATTATAGACTTCTCTTTAATATTAATTAATGAACTATTGTTTACTCAAATAACTCATTAAAGGCTATGCTCAACATTTACATCAAAGACCAGTAAGAGTTGGAAAGGGGGGCTTTCGGTGGAACCCAAGGACATCCTGTGACAGTTTAAAGAGGATGATTCAATAGGTAAACTGATGCTTTTTGATGTCAGTGAACAATACTGTTGTGTCGCTTTGACTCCCTGTGAGTGACGTGAATGATTGCTACCCAAGTGCATTGTGTAGCTGACTACTTTCGGAACGCCGCCCAGGGGTCATTCATCTACAGATTCATAACACATTGGAAGAGTAAGAAGATTATAGCAATGGGAACATACATTCCTCGATGTTTATGCTATACAGGTAACCAAGGAAAACACTGTACTACTTGCAAGTGTAGATAAATCAGAGGCCCCCGAAGCTGGTCGGGCGGGAATTACTTCACCGACTGCTCATCTCCCAGATCAGTGAGTGCCTACATTGCTGCCACACACAATGAAGTATTCCAGGTTTCTTTTGGGTGCCACATTCATTTTCGCCCGCAGTTCGGCCCTGCGTCCCCCCATCCGCATGCCACCATCTAGCGAGTCTTCCCTTCATGACATAACCAAACCCCCTCTACCGACGATCACTGCCAATGCTTTAACGTGGACAACCATTTCGACGCAAACAACGAAATACCCAGCGTATGGAGTATGTGGATACTACTCTGGTAAGTAGCCTTGCCGTGTAATCCGAGGTCTGCTCCCGCTCGCCTGGACATGCAAATCGGGAACTGAACTTCGACATGCTAACATGCATGTCCTGCCACAGGTGCCCCCATAGATTGTCAAGGAAGATTCGTCCCCTGTGTGAATAGCGAGTCATGGCGCGGCTGCACGGTGTATGGAGGAGATCGTTCGACCACGGAGGACTTGAAAATAATACCAACGAAATGCTATGATTACGGATCTCCAGAGTGCAGCGATGCCAGTGCTTCTCAGCCGGGTCAGATCACCTGTTGGTAAGGCTGATGGCGGGCTGAAAACCATCCTTCAAACTATTCATTCTAATTTTGGCACACAGCACCGGGATACCCTATACGACTTGTGGCACTTTCCTCTATTCGACCACCACGTCAGAGACGTTCACCATGCTGAGCTGCCTGAACAGCGCCACCTTATACGGACCTATGACAATGTGCCTTCATGATGATTGCGGCCAGGGCCCTTTCACAACCACTGTTGTGTCCACGATGGAGACTACCAGGTTTGGAATGATCTCCACAACTACTATAGTATCAGAGACCACGGAAACCGTAATCATTCGGCCGAGTGAAACAATTTCAACGACAACTCAGAGTACCATATTCTCAACACCGGAGATAACTGCTTCTAGTATAGTTTCTAATTCCGATCCCATGCCAACTACCTTTAGTACCACTACCACGACCAAAACTGTGTACAGGTCAACAGTTTCAACGCCAGACACTACCAGTACCACAGCAGACGCGACCTCGGACAGTTTTACTACAGTGTCAACAATTGGAACCACGACTAGCGCGGGGCCAGACGGCGACACGGGCTCGGCCACTCCCGGAGCGGCGCCGATAACGTCCAACACTCCTGTCGGCGCCATAGTAGGAGCCACAGTGGGTGGTCTGGTCTTCCTTGCAGCAGTGATATTAGGATGGATATGGTATAAGAGACGCAAGGATAAGCAAAGGGAGTCGGAAAGGTCACAGGATGTCCCTTTACGTAGACTTCCCATCAGAAGGGTTGAATAGCGGCTCATACTAGGCCGACGAGCGAGATATCGGGGAGTGTGTGCATCATTTTCATCGATGACACTGCATCACCGCGTGAGGGTCAGTTTATTAATGACGCGGATGTAACGGGATACCTAGGTAGTTATATCTTTCAGATTTAGTTTCTAAAATCTGATTTCCAAGGTTCCTCCACAAACTTGAAAATCTCCATTATTGCCGGCCATTCTGCTCGTTCATTATGCCTTCCTCACCACCACTCCTAGCAGGCTCCTTTTCCAAAACTCCGTCCTTATCCTTCGGATTCGTCTTACCAATGATGCCCGAGCCACGGAACGCCACAGCAACCACAAGCAGATTCGTCGCACCAAGCGCAAAGTCAAACCACTGCGCAGCCTGCAACCCCTTGAGGGTGGGCTGATCCCACGCCCTCATCGCCCCCGCCTCCTCGACGCTCGTGCCCCTCGCGCCCGCCATGACCGACGTCTGGATAGCCGTCGCGATCGCCAGGCCGATGGCGCGGCCGAACTGGCCGACCGCATTGACCAGCGCGCCGCCCATGGCCTGATCAGCCTGGGGCAGGGAGTGCGAGGTGAAGAGCGTCATGCACGGCCAGGTGATGTCCGCCCCGAACACGCTGAGGATCATGGCCGGCATGCCGTAGGCAAAGTAGGTCGTCGTCGGCGGTATGGGCGTGGCGAAGAGGAGGCAGGCGACGGCCATGCAGAAATTACCGAACATGAGGAGCATGAAGGTCGGGATGATGGCCACGAGCCTCGCCGTGATCGCTGCCGTCAGTATGCCGACGACACCGGTAGGTATGAAACGAAGGGTTGTCTGTATGGCGCTCAGGCCCTGGAAGTCCTGAAAGTAGTAGGTGGCGAAGATCAGGTAGCAGTTAAAACTCGAGAAGAAGAGGGCCATGATTATCATGGCAGCGCTGAAGCGTCGGCTCTTGAAGATGGAGACCTTCATAAGGGGGGTCTGTTTGCCCGTCTTTTCCAGGTGGTGCTGCCAGAAGACGAAGGCGGTGATGATAATGAGAGCCACGACGATGAGGACCGGCACCCAAGGGGTCTTCCAGCCAACGACATTTCCTTCCGTAAGCGCAAAGAGCATCACCATCAAGCCGACCGTGATCAGAACCGCGCCCACCCAGTCGACCGTTGCTTTCGCCTTGACGCCTTGGGCATGCAACGTGGTCGGCGGAGGCGGGATAACAAAATATCCAGCGACAGTTACCAACCCAGCAAGGATGGCCAGAGCCCAAAATACCCAGGTCCAGTGCGCATAACTGGCAATCAGGCCACCGAGTAGGTTTCCAAAGATGCTCCCGAGCGGCGCGCCGGCCGCATACATCGAAAAGGCGTAGTTCTTGGCCTTGCCCGGCGGGAAGGTCGTCCCCAGGATCCCGAGCGCGGTGGGCACGTTGGCGGCAGCTCCGAGGCCCTGAAACCCACGGAACAGGTCGAAGGCGATCTCATTATGTATGACAGGGTTGACGGCCAGCGCGATAGCTACCCAGCCGGACCCAAGGACGAAGATCTTACGCTTGCCATAAATATCAGCGATCCGGCCCCAGAGGAGCAGGAAGCAGCCGAAGGCGAGCGCGTAGGCCGACACGATCCATTGCTGGCGCGAGTCCGGGATACCGATGTCGCGGCCGATGGTTGGCAGAATGATCACGACTGCCTGGCCTGAAAGTGTCTATACCGGTAGTTACTGTTAGTTTTACTACATGTGAAGTCTAAGATCTCACCGGAATCGTACTGCGGCAGTGAGGATATACTGACATTCAGGAAGCTGGCGCCGGTGACAGTGGCGACCAATGCCACGGCCCTCGCTTTTGATATTGGACCTCGCGAGGAATGTGAAAATGTCCGCCGAACTCGGTCTTGATCGGGGGCCTCGTTGCGCTGCCCATCTTCATCTACCGAGCCATCGACTTCGCCAGTGGCGGAGTCATCCGAGGTCGGCTGCTCTTTTGTCGAGCTATGGTCGATTTTCTCAATGTCGCCCTGCGCAGGTCTGGACATTCTGCATACAGCACATGTGCAAGAGGCCGGAACTTGTCTGGCTGCGATCTCTACTGAAGGTCGAGATCAACCAACAAGCAAGCTGGTGCTGAGGAGTCAGGGGGTCAGGTATAGATACAAAAAATTCACCGTCTTTTCTCCTACATAGTACATTTCAGTGCCCAGATGGGCCCAAATGGGTCGGGTAAAAAAATACCCACTCCGCTTTCTCGCAAATGCGCTTAGCTCCGAGGAAAGCAGCCCAGAAGCGATCCGTCGCTGACTCCACATTCCATGGCGCCATGCGGCTCTGGAGTTGCCTAGCCGCTTAGTGATGTGATTCTGGATATAACCTGCATAATATTTCCTATCTTGTACTGCCCGAAGCCTTGGAATTGTGCACGTGGCGCCAGGAAGAAGTTGGGGTCCCGGCCCAAGTGCCGAGACACATCGGTCTCCGAGATTATAGATTGATCGCCGCTTCACCACCGCACTAGGGGAGAATGCGTTACTTACTGCGTGTGATTCTACTCCGCTTGGGGTTGGTGGAGGGGGGTGGCAATTCGCGTCTATTAGTCCTTTCACAAGGTAGGATGCTATGAACAGCGGCTCCGCAATTGCGACATTACAGCAAAACGCATCAATCCTCAACGTCCACTACATTTCCATGCCAAGTCGCCAACCACTACCTAGGTACGATTAACATTGGTCAACTCGGAAAGCAAATCACCCAGATGCGTGCATTTCTCTCACTTGCATCGTTGAAGAGGATTCTACGCCTATAGGAAAAATTGTTGCGACAATGATGCCTGTCCACGGTGATGTCGTCGACCTCGAACAGCCAATGGGAGATAGGCACCATGCCAGGTTGTAAGCCGCGGTGTGACGCTGGATATCGCAGCAACACTAGTGCCATCTCGCAAGAGAGGGGCTTGGTTTGAAAGGACAGGATGTAAAATTAGGCCGGATAGATCACTGATAGTGGGCTGCGTTGTAGAATATATACTGCGAACTTCGAGCCGGACCAGAATAGTACAAGAACTGCTTACCACCTGATTGTAAAATGTCCTTGACCAGGCAGTCCAACTGCTTGCTTCTGTATCATCGACATCATGTTACTCCCCGGCAGCATCATCACGATTTTCCTGTCCACCCTGGCTGTTGCGCAGGTCCAGACATATATTCCGGAGGAAGAGGTCATCAACTCCGGCCGTCCAACTTTCTATGACCTCACACCCCCAATAGCGGGCAAGATTGCATTGGAGGAGCACGTTGGCAACTCTCTCTTCTCCGGAACATTCACCACTCCGTTCGTCAACTACACGAACGAAGTGAACTTTGATATTCCCGAATATGTAACAGATGTGATGGGTCGCATCACTAACATCGACTCGCGTGTTGCTGCCATGGATGCCGCAAATATCACCAAAACAGTACTTTTGTATGGTGCACCAGGTATCCAAGGGGTGTTCAATACCACATTTGCCGTCGAGGCAGCCAAGTTTGTCAACGATGAGATTGCGCGGATCTACACCCGCGGGAACTACAGCGACCGCTTCGACTTCTGGTGCAGCAATGCCCTCCAGGATCCGCCCAGCGCGGCGGCAGAGTTAGAACGCTGCGTCAAGGAGCTAGGCGGCGTGGGGAGCTTCGTGGGCGGATACACGAACAACGGCTCAGCAGACAGTGCTGTGTACCTGGACCACCCCGGCAACCGGGTCTTCCTGGAGAAGGTCGTCGAGCTCGACGTGCCGATATACCTGCACCCCCGGACCCCTCCGCCGGGGCAGCAGCTGGTCTATGACGGCTACAACTTCCTCGCGGGGTCGGCGTGGGGCTTCTCTTCAGAAACGGCAGCCCATGCGCTGCGGCTCATGGTCGGCGGGGTATTTGACGATTTTCCCACGCTGAAGATCATACTCGGCCACTGCGGCGAGGGCCTGCCGTTTTTCCTGCCGCGTATAAATCAACGGATGAGGCACTTCGTGCACTATTGGGAGGGCAAGCAGACACCCCAGTACTACTGGGAGAACAACTTCTATGTGACGACCTCGGGGGTGCAGGACTCGGGCACGCTTCTGGACACCTTGAGATGGACCGGTGAGGATCGCGTTATGTTCAGTGTAGACTACCCTTTTGAGGACAACACTGAGATCTCGAGCTGGTTTGATCGGCTGGAGATGAACACGCACACGAAAAAGAAGCTGGCATATGAGAATGCGAGGAAGATCTTGAGACTAAGCAGTTAGAAAAGCTTATCCATTCGTAGGGGACCCGCAGCCGTCGTGTTCATCATTTTCAAAGTGTCGTCGAAGTAATCCAACGAGGACGTGCATCGTCAGAAATTTGTGGAAAGTCTTCTCTGCGTGTCATCAAGACGGGCAAAAGCCTGCCTCACCTTTCAGTTGCGAGTCCGGACGGGTCGAGTTCGGCGCTTTGAAACGCGTTGCGTCAGTTGTCCGATGGGGAATATATGTGTAGCAGACTGACTCTGGCCACTCTGACAAGCCTTGAAAGCCGGGGGATATCATGCTTTAATAATACGCGTATTATTTTAGAGTCAGTGGGGTCTCAGGTGCAACTGCCCCATGCAGGATCTTTGAACCAAGTGGACCAAGTGTGAGCCAGGCCTCCACAATCAATTGTGTGCAAGTACTTAGGTACATCCACATGGGGCAGTTATACCCGATCATGCGGTATTAAGAGGCTAATACTGCCTGCGGAATACTCCCTGATCTTGCTTGGATGTCGTATTTTCTTTTGCCCCTGGCAGCGGAAGAGGACTTCCACAGTTCAATTCCTTGCCCTCATTCCACCGCTTATTTTACAACACGGTGCCAGCGGACACTCAACTAGGGGGCGTCGCTACATCCGACAACCCGGAATTCTTAGATTTATTAACACGGTTCTATAATATCGCTTTAAAACTCTAAATAAGCGCCAAGATTCAAGTTGCTGATTTACGTCAAGGTAGAATAAATATCTGTACTAGTGAAAGTCAACTCGGGACTTCATCAGCACACCTCACTTAGAGATCAGCAATAAACCACAGAATTGTTCGGTCGAGGTTGGATCAGGATACCAAACTCTGCAGTGCGGGTTCCTCGATTGTGCGAGGGAGTGGCAATTTTCTTAACAGAGAGAGTCGTGTGGGTGGTGATCTATTAGTACTCGTAGTCTGAAGTATTCAAAATACTGAGCATGCTGTCGTCGGAGACTTTGATCGGATCGACTAAAAATGTGCAAGACGCCAAGCAGAACTAAGAGGTCCTGAGGCGATTCGCGAATGATAGGGGAAACATTCACAACGGCCGTATGAACACGTGCAACCAGGATCATTGTTTAGCGTTTTCGAATCCAGTCAGTTTATCGATGAAGTTTTTCTGCTAGTCTTCTCCTCAATCCATGATTTCAGCACAAACATGACGTGACAACACTGCTGTGCATGAGATTTGAGTTGGGTAGGCTCTTGATCGCAGTCGAGAGCGCCAAGATCTGCTCGGCGAGGGATACTGCTTCTGTACCGTGGTAGGACAATGATTTGTTGGAGTAGCAGACAAGAATACACACGCCAAAAATACAGCTAGACTGCCAGCCAGCCTGCGGACCCTCACCCCGATGCGTGATGTAGGGGACCCCTGGGGCCCACAACCAGGTTCCGCGAGGAATTAGGTAATGAGGACAGATGTTAACACTAGTGCACGAATCGGCGCTCTTGAACGTGATGCGGCTCCATAGGACACCTAAGATTAATTGGGATCAGCGGGTACCGAGTAGCAAGGAATTAAAAAACCTTTCATAGGGCCAGAGCCCACTAGAAAGCACGGGTCTTCAAATGTTTCCTTGACCCTCGGGTCCGTTTTCGCTGCAGATAGTACGGGTTTCTCTGGACTGTGGACATTTGATGCGTAATAGGATACTGAAATCTAGATGCAACCACACAGGCCATATCTATCTCTGTAGCACCACCTAGGCATGTTCAGAGACGAGAAAACCGGAGCCAGAACCCAAACAAGAGTAAAAAGCATACCTAGTTTGATAAGAGGCATCACCTTTTCAGAGTTGGCGTTCCTCTTGGCAAGGACTCGGACTCGCGTCTGCCTGAGTTGCAAAGCCTGCAAAAAGCCACCCTCCACAGCGACCTGTTCCATGCACTCAAAATAGCGGGACAACAGGGTGTAACGTTATTCATGATAAAGTTTCTCCGCCCACGCGCAGCTCACCTCGCCATCCTCTACCACCAATCCGGGCACGCTGCGGATTTGACGTCAGACCTCACGAAATGTGGACAGCTGGGGTTTCATACCCCATGGGGCATCTAAGCAATTGAATTGCACGGTGCTGAGGGTATCATATCTAACATGGGACATCTCGGCCCAGGGCTGAGAGAAGAAAAAAACGGAAACCCAAACCGTCAAAGCGCCGGGAAATGGCCGAGGTTAGTGCAGCCTTGTCGTGAGCCGCTGGCTAGCCTCGATGTACATATGGAGACTCTCCGCTAATAACCCACCCAGCCTGCGGGCCGGTAAGCATTAGGTACGTCAGACATGCATGCGACTCCGAGGCCAACAGCCAGGTACGTCCCTAGATACATAGTACATACCTAGTGTAAGTACCTACCCAGTCTGCGTATCCGGAATGACTCCAAGCTCAGGGACACCCACCTCCGCGACGGGGCTGCACTAAGGGTTGTGGGGGCGAGCCGATTCAGGAACGACTACTAGAGATCAGGTTCCCCAGACCTTTCTGCGCTTAAAACGAGCGCGAGGGTCGCTGTTCTTCCTTCCTGCCGCATACCTGCTCCTTGGACCTCGGTGATTACACGTCGATGAAACATGTCTGAGAAGAAGGACATCAACCGAGGGCCCGATGGCAACTTGGAGTCGGGCGAACTATACGGTGTCAAGTCGAATCCGGCTCCCCCCACCGATGCTGTGTTTGGCGAGATCTCAGAGGATGGGCCCAACTTCAGGAGTGTATGTGTTTTCTCTCCATCTGAATTAGGATGAGTCTAGAGTGTATTGTATGTACTTAGGAGGTATGACTGACACTCTATCACCTCTCCAGTTAGGATGGATCGGCGCAGCGGGCCTCATGACAAAATCTTCAATAGGGCTTGGCGTTCTCTCCATCCCCACCGTATTCGACACCTTGGGCCTGATTCCGGGAATCATCTGCCTCATCGCAGTCGGGGCTATCATAACATGGTCCGGCTACGTAGTAGGCGTCTTCAAGCTCCGCCACCCCGAGGTCTACGGCGTCGACGATGCTGGGTTTCTGATGTTTGGTCCTATCGGACGTGAAGGATTTGGCGCCGCTTTCTGCTTATGTATGAGTGTATCCCGTCTCTTGGTCTATCAAATTGGGCAATCGTCCGGGAAACAAACCTGAAAACTCCATTTTCTAACTTTAGGACGGTATTAGTCTGGACCTTCATCGCCGGCTCCGGCATGCTCAGCACGTCGATCGGATTGAACGCAGTATCGGCCCATGGAACATGCACGGCCGTCTTTGTGGTTGTTGCCGCCGTCGTGGGCTTCGCCTTTGCCAGCATCCGGACCCTGGGCAAGCTCAGCTGGCTGGCCTGGCTCGGCGTCAGCTGCATCATCATCTCGAGTACGTTGGTTCTGTATTCTCTCTGTACGGTTATCGGCATTGTGTTTTCCTAAATGCTGGGTCTTGAGCGTTGGCCACTGTATGAGTTCAGGAGGGCGTCACATACGTTTTATATGTATGGGATTAGAAAGGAAACGATCCCAAGCAATGGTCCTGGGCCTGTTGGCGCCGAGTCCCCGCTGACGTTCCGCCCCCAGTCTTCATCCTCACCATCGCCGTCGGTATCCAGGAGCGGCCCGCCGCTGCCCCACAAGAGGGGATCTGGGTCTCCGATTACAAGCTCACCAACACGCCCGACTTTGCCAGCGCCGTGTCCGCCGTGTCCTCCCTGATCTTCGCCTTCGCCGGCATCCCGGCCTACTTCAACATCCACGCGGAGATGGCCGACCCACGCCTCTACACCCGGTCGCTGCTCGTGTGCCAGTCCACTGTTACCGCAGTGTACATCACGATCGGAATCGTTGTCTACTACTACTGCGGGTCATATGTCGCCTCGCCCGCCTTGGGCTCCGCCGGCCACGAGATGAAGAAGGTGACCTATGGTGTCGCTCTCCCGGGGTTGTTTGTGTCGACGATTCTTACTATACACGTAAGTGTGCCTGATAAAATTTGATGACCAAAGTTTTTGACTAAAGAGCGAATAGCTACCGGCCAAGTACATCTTCATCCGAGTCTTGCGAGGAAGCAGGCACATGACCGCCAACACAATCACCCACTGGGCAAGCTGGATCGGATGCACCGGCGGAATATCCATCGTGGCCTACGTTATCGCCAGCGGTATCCCGGTTTTCGACGGCCTGGTCTCACTGATCGGCGCCCTTCTCGGTACTCTGATGTCGTTCCAGCCCATGGGCTGCATGTGGCTGTACGACAACTGGACCCAGGGCAAGTCTGAACGCTCGGTCAGATGGATTCTGATGGTCTGCGTCAGCGTATTTGTGGTGGCGTCGGGAACATTTATGATGGTCGCTGGTACCTACGGATCCGCTCTTAGCATTGCTAAGACCTACGAGGCGACGGGAGGATCAGCGGCATGGTCCTGCGCGGACAACTCAAACTCGTAAAGCCATAACAACCAAGCATGACTTTAGAAACTAATGTAAATGATTTTCACATGATGTGAAAAGAGCGTTCACACCCGTCTACGCCGCACCCCCCCCCCACCCGGCCAGGGATGTTTCGGCCGGAGGGAACAAAAGGATTCCAGATGTAGATCCACGGACAGTCAAGCGTGACGCATGTGGTAGCCGGCGGGAGGCGAGAAAGGAACTGAGCCACCACCAGCACTTGAGGTGATGCCGCAGGGAGCTAGTAGGTGCTGTCCAGCTGTGTACCTGTGCAGTGGCCTCAGAAGACAGGGAGGGTATGCCCAAGCTTGTTTGCCATTTGCAGCGTCATATTCTACCTCGATACGGATCATATTCATCAGCGGGTCTTCCAAGGTTGAGATTGCAGAGTCAAATATGGCAGACACAATAAATCCATGGTGTCTGCAGTCCTCAGGTGCTGGACACCGCCGTTGGCAGAATACGGTTGAATTGAGAGCATTCGCAACTATCGAGAACAGAGAAAACGGTCTTCGGTGCAGAATGAAAAGGAGCCTTAGCAACAACCTTGGAAGCTGTCAAAGATGTGTGTAGGTTGAAATGGGTAGGAACAATTAAAAGGACAGTACCCGGGGGTCAGACCTTCGGTTACCCCCTACACCTACCAGCATAGGGGGTACCAAAACCCCCATACAGCCAAAACCTATATATACTTAAAAAAAAATAAAATACTATACTTAACTTAATCTAACTTATTTAAAAAAAATAATATAAAATAAAAAAAATAATTATATAAACTTTATTTCTTAAGGAATTTAAATAAAATAATTATAAAATTTTAAAGTTAAAATTTAATTAAATTTTACTATTTTTTAATATTAATATAATTATAAATATAGATTTTAAATAATTTTATATTAATATAAAATATATTATTATAATTTTTATAATATAAAAATATTTTAAAATAATATTTAAAACTTAAAGTTAAAGTTTTATAATTTATATAAAGTATATAAAATAAAAAATAAATAAAGTAAATAAAATAATAATTTTATTTATTAATTTTATTTATTAATTTTATTTATTAATTTTATTTATTAATTCTATTTATTTATTTTATATAATAATTTTATATAATAATTCTATTTAATAATTTTATTTTATTATTTTAATTTAAAATATAATTAATTTTAAATTATTAAATCTTTATTTATTTCTTTATTTATTTTTATTTATTTATTTCTTTATTTATTTATTTATTTATTTATTAAATAAATATAATAAACTTTATTTTATAAATTATATTATAAATTTAATTATAAATAAATATTTTTAATTAATTAAATAAAATTAATTATATATATATATATATATATATATATATATATTATTTTATAAAATAATATTATTTTATATTTATATTTATTATTTTATATTAATATTTATTAATTAAAATTATAAAATATAATAAATTAATTAATAAATATATTTAAAATAAATATATATATTTATTAAAATTATTTTATAAATTATAAAATAAATTTAAATTTAAATAAAATTTATTTTTAATTACTTTAATTTTTATAATATTTATTTTAATTAAATATTAAATAATAAATAAAGAAATATATAAAATAATATAATATATTCTTTTATAAATTTATTATAAAACTTTAATTTTAAATTTTTAATTATATTATATATATATTTTTTATATTATAAGAATTATAATAATATATTTTTTATATTAATATAAAATTATTTAAAATCTATATTTATAATTATATAAATATAAAAAAGTAATAAAATTTAATTAAATTTTAACTTTAAAATTTTATATTTATTTTATTTAAATTCTTTAAGAAATAAAGTTTATATAACTATTTTTCTTTACTTTGTACTATTTTCTTTAAATAAGTTAAATTAAGTTAAGTATAGTATTTTATTTTTTTTAAGTGTGTGGGGGTTTTGGTTGTATGGGGGTTTTGGTACCTACTACGCTAGTAGTGGGTTCCTCGGAGCGAGAGCGAACCCACGGGTATGTACCTCTTTTGTGCTGAGATGGTGAGCTAACGGGTTAGTCCGTTTCTGCAAGGTGTAGCTGTTAGTCAAGTATTGCCCGCCACCTCCGCAGTCAACAGAGATTACGTAACTTGCCGGCTCGCCTCCGACGTCACCCCAAGCCAGCGCCGAGTCGCATTCAACGTCGCCCTCAACCATGGAACTGCCATCAGCAGGCGACTCCAACCGCATGCTCATCAACATCGCCTTGCGAGCGGGACATGGGATGCTCATCCTACAACAGGAAGCTCCGAAACGGCCTACGACATGGCCTGCACAACCGCTTCCCCCCGGAAGGATCCCCCGAGGCCCGCCGGTAAACACAAATCCAGTCCAGTCCCATCTCCGTCACACTCAAGCGCCCGCCTGAGAACATTGGAATGCTCGGCTGACCTCCATCGCAGATATGACTTGAACCGGCTCGCATCCCCACTGCTCCGACTCCCCTTTGAACTGCGGCTCCAGATATACCGACACGTCCTCGGAGACCGGCAGATCCACATCTTCTTCGTCCCGTGGCAGCAACACAAGCAGCGCACGACAAAAGACGGCCAGCCCGCGTCCGCCGAGACCGTCAAGGGCCGCTTTCACTACGAGGTCCTCGAGAAGAGACAGGACCCCTGGAAGGAGGACCGGCGGACCCTTCGCCTTCGGAAGCCCACCTCATCGGCGGACCCCGAGCCCATCACCCTGCTGTCCGGCGTCTGCCGCCAGCTGTACCACGAGACGGCCCTGCTGCCGCACCAGCTCAACACCTGGTCCTTCGAGACCATGCACGTGATGGAGCGCTACATACTGAAAGAGAACAGGATGCCCCTCGTGCAGCGGCGGGCCGTGCGGATGCTCTACTGCAAGGAGAGGCTGCCCAAGGCCCTGGAGAATAAATTCGGCGGGCTTCAGGCCATCATCTGGAAGGACGGCAGGAAGCTGCGGTGGCAGGACCTGTCGCTGTTCCCCGAGGTGGCGTGGAAGGACCGCGAGGAGCTGAGGGAGCGTACCTGGCGGTGGTGAAAGCCGTGCAAGGCGCCCTGGCCCACGTTGGGCCCCTCCTTGTGAAGGTCTTGCTGGGACCAACTGTTAGTTGCAACACAGGGATCTCTTCGAGGCTTGAATGAACCGTCTGCCGCCTTGACGGTTTTTCTATGGTCCGATGTCACGGACATGCCTGACTACTGTAGAAACTTTGCCGCCATTGCTGAAAGTCGCGGCCAAGACTTTAGAGTGTGAGCTGTATGGGCATTGCTTTGAACCGACTTCTCTTGCGGAATTTTCCACTGCTGCAAAAGAAACCCAGCTGTAGAACAAGCCAACGTCATCCACTTCGTGTGTTATCCCAATACTTTTCATGTGCATGGCGTTTTTCGTATCGCCAGTCAAGGGCCCCAGAGCTCCTGGCAGCTCGTGGCAGCTCCAACCTGCTGAGACCAACTTCTACCACCCAATCTCAATTCCACTTCCTCTCTCTACCTTTTCCTTTCTCTCTTACCCCCCCCCCCTCTTTCACTTCCAACTTCCAACCCCTTCTCTTTACCTCTCTCTCTCAACCATCAAGCCACCACCCTCCCTCCTCCCAACAACCTCCAAGCCATCTTGACCATCGCGCGCTCGTAGGTTCTCTCCTCTTCTCTCGCGGTGCTGCACTGACCATCCACGACCGACTTCAACAGTCAACCAAGCTGAAAGACCCAACAACAAGATCACCAAGTCCACCCACAGAGGTAAATACCAAGCAATCCACCATCAAACACAATCCGTCCTTAAATCTTCATCACCCATCTCCATCACACACTTCCATCATCACTACTCACATCTGCCTGCTCACACTTTCGCTGTCGTTATAGGTCAAATACCGTCAAAGACCATCTCAATTTCTCTCCAAACACAACCGAAAATGCCTCGCCTTCCCGACCGAATTGGGGCCAAGACCCAGAAGATCCTAAGGAGCCTCTCTATCGAGAGGCAGGACTTCGGTCGTCATTGGGACGAGATCCAAACCAACCGGAACCTCGGCCGACTTTCCGATGTTGACTTCGACAAGCTGTGTATGCTTGTAGCGATTGCCAAGCAGTGCGGTGTGCCAGCCGACGAATTTTCGCGACGAGAACTGCACAAGGCCTATAAATGGTCCAGCGCGAGGCGATCCACCGAGCGCAAGATGCGCAAGCTTTGCGCGAAGGTCCATGACCGAATAGTGAAGCGTCAAGGAGCAACCGCGAGCCACCATTCCCAAGACGAGGGGGAACCTCAAGATCGGGCCCGTCGGCCTGACAACACCGCAGGCGAACCTGCCGGTCAACAGGCTGATCAGTCTGCAAACATCGAAAACGATGTCAATCACTGGCATCCTCCAATGGTCTACCCTGTAGAGGGAGCAAGCTCTCTCGACGGCTTCCACTAATAATAGAATTACATACCAGCCTAGCAGGGTTTGCTTCCCCGCGCCATCTCGAGCAGCTAAGAGTGCTATGAAAGCATCATTCGATGCTTAACGGAGCAGCTACCCTTTTACCTCCCCAACCTAGTCGCAACTAATTTAAGAGCGCGACCGAAACCGTTGGCGGTGGGTGAAGTTAATGATGGCAGGTGCGGACAAATCCTGTGTTCTAGGATACCAACTTTGGAATGGAACGTTGTGGACGGTGTTGTCAGGGACGGTCAGGAACGGTCAGGGACAGTCTTTATTAGCGCATCTAGTCACGACCTCTCACGGCACCTCATCACACATCTACACCATGTCTCAATTAATGTTCATTTCACCTTCAAGTTCTTCAAGCAATTTACCTTGATAATATGTACATGATCAAGGTTATCAAAATTGCGCCCCGACCACATCACAGTTGACCGTGCAAACGGCCAGACTAAAGGGCCTGTGACAATCAACAATGATCCGTGGCACCCGCCGGTGGTAGCAGTTGTCAGGGCCGTGGGCTGATCGCTCGCAGGACCAACCAGTGGGTCCGTGCACCCCGCTTATCTTATCAGCCCAAGGCCTCCCTACCCCATACCTCTTGCGATGTGGGATTGCAGCTTCGCTGCTTCCCCCGTACTATTCCTTAGGCAACTCTTAGTCTTACATCAACAACCATTTGCAGACAATTTGAGTGTCTTTTGACATAGGTCGCGAGGATCTTCTCAGCACTTGGCCAGCAATCACTCGATGAAATCCACAATGTCACCTACTAGCTCTGGCTGGGACCAAAAAACATGCGACTCAGAGAAGAGCCGCCCACAAACCAGAACCAGGTTTTTTTTGCGTTTTGCGACCGGCCCAGCACTATTTCCGACAGACCTCTTGGAGGCATCTGCAGAGGAGCGCTACAATTTTCACGAAACAGTCGTCTGCTTCGACAAGATGGACAACGATCCATGGCACCCGGCAATGGCGGCAGTCAGAAACCAGCCTCCAGTGATTGCAGTCGGGGAGCAGTCACTTGATGGCATCGAAAGTGTGGCATACCAGCACTGGCTGGGACCGGAGGACATGCGCCTCAGGGAAGAACCATCAACTAATCAGAATCAAACCAAGCTTCAATTCGCCACCGGGCCCGCGCTCTACCCTACAGATCTACTAGAGGCCACGGCCGAAGACAGATACAATTGGCACAAGACTGCCGTCTGCTTCGAGAAGGAGGCGGCTGTTGCGCAGGTTCCTCTGTCGCTACCTAACCAGTACCGAGCGGAATACGTGAACAAGGTCCGTTCATGCAACCCGCGCCTTAAGCCGAGTCACCAAGAATGCTATGAGAGCATCGTCGGCTGCGTCAAAGCTGAGCGTCCCCTACACCTCGTTGACATCATTGCGATGTTTACCTTCGTACACAATTGCATCTCCGAAGACGGCCGCAACCGGTGGCTGTGGGAGAAAATGAAGCTGGCGGGCGCCGAAAGGTTTTGCGACCCCAAATACCAATGGAATATCGACGATGACGGTGTTTTCAGGAACGATCACGGCCAGTCTCTGGCACACCTGGTGACTACAGAGGCCCCAATGCCTCGACATCGCCGTAAGAACCGGGCACAGATCGGGTCTAAGAAGGACCGCGCCAGATTCCAGCGCCGCTTAATCCACGTCTTTCAGGGGTTCAATGCCCACGGAGTTGGGGTCTACAAGACCTACTATGACAAGTTCCTGGCCAACGAGGCCGCCCTACGACAGCTGGAGCAAGACCAGCTGGACATAGCCACGGACACGGAGCTGGACGTGGAGGAGCGGGCCGCTCGAAGCCGTGAGTCGGGCGCCACCGGCGCAAGGCCCGCAGCCAGATCGGCTCGAGGAAGGACCGCGCAAGGTTTCAACGACGGATCCTCCACGTGTTCCAGGGGTACAACGAGGATGGCGTTGGTGTCTACAAAACATACTTCGACAAGTTCCTTGCGAACGCGGCCGCCCTGCAGCAACTCGAACAGGATCAGTTGGACATATCAACTGAGATGGACGTGGAGGAGCGGGCCGCTCGGGGCCGGCAACAGAACGGAGACCGCCACGCCGTGCCCGGCCATTGGCTGGACGAGCAACGGCGAAGCAATTCGACGCCCTGCGAGGACAACAGTCCTCGCGAGAGAGACTTTCGGTCTTCATGCTCAGAGCACCTGTTAAGGCAACAACCACTTCCCCAGAATGCCTGTCGGTGGCCGTGACGCCTCGAGCCAAGTCCTCCTCTCCATCTTTACCGCGTTCTTCCTTTTACATCACATTTAGAACAGAGTCACAAGGCAGCAAGATGAGGCCTGTCGATCTGTGAGCAATCGTCGGTCGCGCAGATTCTCGCCGTCACCTACCCTCGCATACCTACCGTCGAGTACGACCACATCAGCTGGCACGGACTCTGGACAGGACAGACGCGGATTTTTTTTACATTGCACATTTTACCTGTATCTCATAGCTTTCATCTACCCTCGCCATTGACACCCAAAATTTACCCCTGGTGCTGCGTCCATCAGCACTGGAATCGCTGGGCTCGCTTCTAATACATTCAAGATGGAAGGGTGGATGTAAAACCGGGAATGGAACAATGGCTTGCAGCAGTCAGCTGCATTTTCATCTCGGATAGCTTTAGCAACAGATGACTGACGATTCCCATGACAATTGAATTTGGTGTTTTGCTCTTTAATTTTCATAGTGTGTCCAATTGTGTGACTATTTACGTCAACGGCGGGAGCAATTTGACGCCCTGTGAGGACAACAGTCCTCAACTGAAACCTTCCAGTTTTCATACTTGGAACATCTACTAAGGCAACCATCAATTTTCCAGAATGGAAAGTATCTATAGCCTACCTGCCGACGCCCATAATGCCTCGAGCCAAGTCTTCCAAGGATACAACGATGATGGCATTGGTTGGCATCTATAAAACCTACTATAATAGGTTCCTTAGCAACACGAGCACAACCCAAGAGCTTTAATAGGACCGGCTTAACATTTCTACGGAAAAGGATAGGAGGGCGTCGGTTTCCAGGGCTGAGGGGTAGCCTCAGTTGCTGGCGTTTAGTCTCATCTAGCAAACCGGCTGTCAGGGCAGTTATGATTTGACCATGTCTCAATCAAAGTTCAATTTACCCTAGGAACACACGTGCCCTACATTGGTAATTTGCCTCAAGAATGCGAAAACGATTAAGGTCATCAAGATTGCACCGCCTATGATGAGCCGTCATGGATCTTTGCACACATGACCCCGGAGCATACTACATCTGGAGAATTCCGCCACAATGATTTATGTGCCTTCCCTGCCCGGGGACCTTCGCTTTTTCTCCTGAGTGCCTTGACGGCACCGCGCCAAGCAGGTCCCATGGAATGCTCGGGGTATATGATTTCTTTATATTCTTGAACAACTGACATCCGCTGTACCTGATAGTCGAAGGTGTCTCCCGTACGCCTAATCAACCCCACCGGCTTTACCTGGCGAAGACCGTTTCCCCGAAACCAGTCCCGCGCGAGGAGACAAGATGGCCCGGTTGTTCGGATACATCCATTACCAGACCCGCCTCCAACTTCCTCGGCCCCCGAACCAGCATTGGGCGATCGACCCGTGCTGATACACTAAACGTTCTTGACTGGATGACCACGCGTGATTGTGCTACAAAAGGCATCTGCCTTTATTTACCCAGTACTCCCAGGCTTGGTGTTTCTCTTCGAAGGCTACTGTGTATATAAGACCAGGCTCGGCACTCCTTGACCCCTTAGAATACATTATCTTCCATCCTTCCTCTTCTCTTGGAAGCAGCCGTTCCACTGGACTAACACCTACCAGCATCAAATACGCCACCCAATAAATGTGCCCGTTCATTTGCATAGAATCTAAATCAGGAAATAATCGAAGGCAGAGACAGTCATGCAGCAAGGCCGGGTAAATCGACATGTCGGCAGTTGGGTTATTGGATGCATGATAGATTACTTGGGGATCATTCCCGACGTATGAACCACCTAAGCCCACGGGGCCAAAATTATCCAAGCGCTGCACATACCCAGCAGTTTGGTATGATTTGGTCCATGGAAAAAGAGACAATGATCAAGCGGATGGTACAGCTGCGCCTTGGGGAGCAACACGAACCAGAGGAAAAGTCTGGGCATGATGATAAGTATCCCACTTTGCCCCTACGACCAGGCGCAGGTATCTATCTGTTGTGTCTCCAACGATATCGCTTTCAAATCCAACGATACCTAACAGCTTCCTGAACCCTTCGGCCAAGTCAATCTGTCACAGAAACGCCTTCTTTTTTAACCACGATGAAGTGGATTTCCCTCATATCTGCACTTGCTTCGTGCGGGCAGGCCGCCCTCCGGTTCGGATGCGGCACTGTCAGTATCCAACGGCTTGACCCTCTTGTAGAGCCAGGAAAGACCCCATCGTCTCACCTCCACCAGTAAGGCGCCCGAGCTGCGTTTGTGCCGAACCGGCTTGCCATACCCGTATCATTTTGGGCCATACTGACATGCACGATAAAGAATCGTTGGAGGCAACGCTTTCAACGCCACGATGAGCGGCGACATCGGCGAGAAGGGTAAGAGGATGGAGCCTTGCTATTTTGGACGATGTCGTATACTTACCGAATCTCAGGCACTTGCACCACCTGCACCTTCTCCGAGGACTTTTCCAACTACTGGACTGCCGTAATGTTTTTCAAACATCCTACAAATGGCAGCTACAAACGGTCAGACGACCTGCACCTTCTCGTAATTATCAGCTAACAACCATGAAGTGTGCCTATCATCGAGAACGACGCACTTCCAGCAGGCATCAATGGCGGTACGTCAGACATGCAGGACTGTCCAAATATCATAACTATCAGCTAATAAGGACATTTGCCAGGAATGACTGTGTATTATACGTAAGCAGATTTTTGACGCATTATCTACCCCTAAGGGAACAATTATGGCCCGTTGTTGGCCAATAAATCAATGGAATTACCTAGGTAGGGGCTGCTGGTTGCAGAGTCGGGAAAATTCTGCTCCTTTGGCTCTTTGAAGGCTGATTCCGAATGCTATAGACAACAGGACTTCTACAATAACGGAAACCAGAAGATCACAGCCTTCCCGAAAGTGAGTGAAGGGTTTGCTGCAGGGCTAACCTCCTAAGAGGCTCGAGTACCCTGAGCACGCGCTGACGAGGGACTGTCCAGGGATTCAGAATGACTGTGGGCGACCCGAAAGTTACAAGCTCCGGCAAGTTCAACGGCCAGAAGGGCCTGAAGTTCGTGTGCCTCCAGAACAAGTCGACGAGGTTCCCCGAGCTCGACGTCTTCCCGACGCAGCCGTGCCCTGCTGGCATCATGACCGTCCACCACTTCCCCACGTTTGTACCCCCTGTTTTCGTTGTTTCTGGCTCTTCCTCACCTTTTCAGTTGCATCAAATGTTGAGACCGGACGTTAACCCGATACTCTTTCCTTAGGTGCTGGGATGGGAAGAATGTGGACACACCGAACCACCAAGACCAGTAAGCACTCCTGTCACTGCGCCTTTTCTCTTAGGTTTAAGGATGTTCTGTCAGGCAGCATAATGCCCTCCAAGGCGGTTCTAACGGCGCATAGCATGTACGACACTCAGACAGGAGCCTTCCAGCCCGCGGGTGCTTGTCCTGCGTCACATCCGATTCGCATGCCCCAGGTAAGTGGTTTCGTTTCTAATCCCCATGCATATAATAGGTATGCGGAGCCTTGATACAGCGGTAACCGCCATTTAGCTGGCGTACGAAACGTTGTACGATACATCCAAGTTTGCATCCATGTGGCCTAGCGGCACGCCGAACCCCTTTGTTTTGAGGTGAGTCCATTGATATGACTCTCTTAATCCATGCTCATGACAGTGGATCAAGTAGACTGATTCCAGAAAAATAGTTACATGGGCAAAAACGGCAATTTGAACGGCTACGGAACCCACGCCGACTACGTCTTTGGGTGGAAGGGTGATTCCCTCCAGAAAGCCATGGACTCGAACTGCATGTTCCAGGCCTGTGAGAACGGCAGACCCCTAAAGTCGCAGAGCGTCGCACAGATGAATGCTTGCACTGTGAAGTCACAGGTGGTCGAGGACATTGACGGCTGTAAGTATCTCTCCGTGGCAACCATTTCCTGTACCAGGACATAAAATCGTGACCCAAGCTGACGCTGCTTCCACTACAGGGCTTCCTGAGCTCCCAGGGATGGGCGGCATGTGAGCCAGATTAGGTTGTTGGGTGGCAAGGCAACAAGTTGGCCACAGGGGAAGGGGTTGATAGAATGCCAGTGAGACACAGCTTCGCGCGGCTTGATTGAGTAGGATGAGGCTGGAAGACGGTAGCACGCTCGTTTTGACTCAGTTTGAGGACTACAGCCACATGTTATCCACGTTCATTCAGAGTTTGCTACCACAGACCGTCGTAATCGTGAGAGGAAAGCCCATAACAGCGTTTTGATGACCCCAACGCAGGCATATCAGTTGGTCACCAGCCAGAGGCCGAACGACTACAAACATCGAAGGCGGGCCCCGATTTCACAGAGACTGGGAAACGTTACGACCAAACTTCTGGTGGAACTGAAACATGTTGTTCCCATTGTATTACATGAAGTGCACGCTAAACTGAACATTCCGAACCCGTTAACCCCGCAAACGCTCCATCTTTGGATCAAACAGTGGCTCGGGGGTGATGGTCGCCTTGATCCGCTGCCCGAAATACTCAATCTCGACAGACTCTCCCTCTCCCAATGAACCAGGGAGCCATGCATATGCTATAGGCTTCCTGACAGTGTACCCGTACGCAGCACTAGTGACATACCCAACAGCCTTGTCGCTGCCGGCATGGAAGACCGGCTCCTTGCCCAGGACAACCGACGCCCCATCGTCAACAGTCAGACACCGCAGCCTCTTCTTGGACGTCTCCGCAGACCGGCCCTGCAGGGCGTCAGAGCCCACAAAACCGCCCTCCTTGTCCAGCTTCACCGCGAATCCGACCCCGGCCTCGAACGGGTCGTGCTCGGTGGTCATGTCCGTGCCCCACGACCGGTACCCCTTCTCCAGGCGCAGCGAGTTGAACGCCTGCCGGCCCGCGGCGACGATGCCGAACTCCTCGCCGGCCGCGGAGAGGGCGTCCCACAGCCTGAGGCCGTGCTCGGCCGAGGTGTAGAGCTCCCAGCCGAGCTCGCCGACGTACGAGAGCCGCATGGCCGTGACGGGGACGCCGGCGATGGTCACGCGCTTGCACCGGAAGTAGCGGAGGGCCTTGGTGCCAAAGTTGTCGCTGCTGACCTTGGTGATGACGTCGCGCGCCTTGGGCCCCCAGAGCCCGACGCAGCACGTCGAGCCCGTGATGTCCTTGACGTAGACCCACTTGCTCGGGTCCCTGGCCGTCTGCCTGCGGGCCTCCTCCTTCATGTAGACGGTGTCGACGGGCGTGTTGCAGCCCACCTGGAACAGCTCGTCCTCGAGGCGCGCCACGGTCACGTCGGACCTCACGCCGCCCTCGCCGTCGAGCCAGAGCGTGTAGGTGACCGGCCCCGTCTTGGGCAGCGGCTTCTTGCCGACGTCGCCCGTGCTGGCCCGCTGCAGGAGCTCCTCGGCGCCCGGCCCGGCCACCTCGAGCCGCCTGAGGGGCGTCATGTCGTACATGGCCACGGATGTGCGTGTCTTCCATGCCTCGGCCGCCGCGATGGGTGACCAGTACCGGGCTGACCAGGCATCCCGCTCAGGCGCCTTCCACTCTGGTGGGATTGACTCCAGCAGCTTCGCGTTGGCTTCATACCAGTAGGGTCTCTCCCAGGCGCCTCCCTCGAGGAAGAAGGCCCCCAGTTCCTTCTGGCGGGGGAAGAATGGCGAGGTCCGCAGATTACGGGGGGATTCCTTTGGTTGGAGTGGGTGGAGGATGTCATATATCTCGACAAAGTTCTGCGCCGACGTCTCTGCTACGTAAGCATCAGACAGCTGTACCTCCTCGAAACGGTTGATATCCGCGGAGGCTAGGTCGTAGGTGGATTTGCCGGTGGTGAGGACCTCGGCAACAGCGCGTGCCACACCAGCAGAGTGTGTCACCCAGACGGCCTCGGCGACGAAAAAGCCCTCCAGGGTGGGATGAGGGCCCACGAGGGAGCCACCGTCGGGCGTGAATGAGAACAGGCCGTTGAAGCCGTCCCCAATCTCCACATCCCGGGTAGAAGGGAGCAGCTCCTGTGTCAACTTCCACGCCGGCTCAAAATCTTCCGGGGTAAAGTCAAGGCGAGAAGGCATGTTCTTGTCATCGACCTCTTTGGTCGTGACACCCAGATCGGCTGCAACAAACGGCATGGGCTTGTGGCCGTAGTAGCCTATTCCGATCTTGTCGCCGTGCTCACGGTAATAGAGGTCTTGGTCTTGGTATCGCAAGATAGGCAGAGAAGCCCCATTCTCTGGGTTGTTGCGATCTTTCAAGGCCGGCACTGATGTCGTTTTCACGTACTGGTGGGCAAGAGGCACAAGAGGCACCCTGAGGCCAACCATGGCGCCCAGCTCAACGCCCCAGAAACCACCGCACGAGATGACGATATCGGCCGGAATCGTTCCGGTGGATGTAGTCACCCCGGTGACGCGGCCGTTGGCCCTCTCGATTCCCGTCACGGGAGTCAGGTCCAGATAGCGCACGCCAGCTGCTTTTGTGCGCTCGATCAGGAGCTGGACGGCGCGCGCAGCCAGCGCCAGACCATCAGTGGGTATGTGCAGGCCTCCGAGAACCTTGTCTTTGTCGAGAAGCGGGTAGAGCTTCAGACACTCCTCCTTCGAAATCACACGAGCCTCGACGCCATACGACTGGGCCAGCCCGTGTTTCCTCTTCAAATCTGTAAGGCGCTCTGGGGTTGTTGCGATCTCCAGGCCTCCGACCTGGTTGAAGCAGCTCTGGCCATCCTTGCTGATCGACAGCAGCTTCTCAACGGTATACTTGGCGAAATTGGTCATGGTCCTGTCTGGGTTGGTCTGAAAGACGAGACCAGGGGCATGTGATGTAGATCCTCCCGGCATGCTGAGGGGCCCCTGCTCGACAACCGTGATGTCAGACCATCCTCGTTCAACAAGCTCGTCGGCGACGTTGACGCCGACGATGCCAGCCCCGATGATCACGACGCGTTTTGCGTCGGGGTGTGCCACAGAACCCATGATACTAAATCTATCTCAGACAGAAAACAAAATTATAGGGCCAGGACTGATGAGTATGAGATGAGTTCAGAGAAATAAAACGAATAAAGAAGAGTATGGCTCAGGAAAGTATACCAGCCCAAGCAAGAGATCACGATGCTTTTATTTCGTATAGAGAACCTGAGAGCAGACGCGGCCGTCGTCGGTAAAATTACACTTTGGCCCAGCGACCACGCCCAATGCCGACTGCACCGAATTCACCACATGATATAACCAAGGAGGATGCTGCCAGCGGCCAATATCGTGGCAGGCGTTTCAAGCAGGCCCAAAACTAGCACGTCGCGAGTGCTGATTGGCATCGAGATTGCCGGCGCCATGGTTGTATACAGTCCATAGACTTACATGTCACCACGGTGAGGCTCAGCTGACGCAGCCAGGCACTATGCCCACGTACTGTGCAGCGTATTCCCCATCACGGCTCTTTTCTGTCCCGCTCGGACATCGTTCGGGACATGGCTGTACCCTGCGGACCCTGTGCATCTGGTTGGGCTGCGAGATAAGGGAGCGAGCCTGGCCAGTCGCGGCCGATGTGATCATCCCCGCATCTTGGCGAGAGAAGTTGCTCGGGCCAGCCCGACTAACCTTATCTGCCTCGACTGTGCCAACGTCCGTTGTCGGTTCCTGATCTGCGTGGCGCCCAGCCTCATCTGCATTGAGCGTGTGAGGGTGTGTGTTGGTCCCTTTGGTTCCCTCGTTCTCTTGCTTCTCTCGCCTCCCACCCTCACGGGTTTTTTGTCGGATCAGTCGCCGGTACTTGACACAGACCTCGGCACGTTTATACATACACCCCCCCTCCTCCACCCCTCCCGGGTGCTTATCTGCAGGCGGGTGTTGGTGGTAGGATGGACGGTCAAATGCCAGATGTCGTGGCTGCTTGTGGGTCGACGATGGCTGCCTACCTAGGTTCATTCCGTTCATGGCAAGTCAGGTCGGTATTGTATACGCATGTGTACGGTAGTCTGGGGTAGGAAGGAGAAAAAAAAATGAAGCACAGACTCAGTCTGCGTGCGGTGTGATATCATCTGGGGTCCAGCGAGCCAAGGACTGGCCTACCTGAACCTGACATACGTACATACCGCACTACTGCCGTACATCAGACGCAGGTTGTCATAGGTGTGCTGAGAAGTACGCCCACCGTGCTGCCATCGATCGACCATTCCAGGGCTGTCATGTCCAGCACTGGCCCTGGGCCCTTGGCCTTTGGGCCCTTCGAGATTCCAGCCCTCCTTGCCACATGACGCTAAATTAGTTTAATCCGTTGTCGGTATCCGGCTGAGGCGGAGCTGCAGCATATCCCTGATCTGGTTCTATCTTTACCCATTACACGTCGGCTGACTGGCCAGCATGTGCCGTGACTCGCGCCCTGTGACCCAAAGTTCACGATAACTTCATTTGCTTCACCTGGGGCGAGATTCCACCGCTGGATCGCACACGGCATGAACACTGCCGCACCAAGTGTGCCGTGTCAGTGCTACTTCCAACGCACACCGTCCTCGTCCTCCCACGATCGCCAGTGCCGCCTCCGTTCTAGGAGATCAACATGCCCGAGCCATTTGCGGAACCGAGCACTACCAGCCACCAGACTGGCGCATAACGGAGAAATTACTCCTTCCACGGGCACAATCAGAGCTGGGCGACTTCAGGTTTGGTAATGCTCCCATCAACCTCCCTGTTTGGGTGGGAGCAAAAGCCCCTCTACTAGCCCTCCCACCCTCCCATCCTCCCACCTTCGCAGTCCTCCACACCTCCGGTTCTTCCGTTCTCCTCCTTCCCTTCCCATCCTCCACACCTTTTCTCATGTTCTAGTTCACTGCAGGTTCAATTCATTGACTAGCGCCCGCAATTTCATGAATTGAAATAGCATTTTGCCCTGGTATCACCGGCGAATTTCTCAGAGTATTTCAAATTCCACAGTCGATATTTGCATGCAAGTTGTCGTGCATATAATAAAGTGATAGAGATATATGACCCTTGTTACCAGGGGACTCTTACATCCAAGGCATAGTGCTCGAGGTGACCGCTTTCCCGGTTGTGATTACCGATTCAGGTAACTGTCACTTGGCCAACATGGGTGTAGAGTCCCATAATGGGTTAGATAGATAAGCGCGCCAAACTCTATCAGCATTGTCCTTGAGTTGTCCAACAGCGATTGCCACACAGTATACGCACTATCTTGAAGAGCAACAAGGCCCAGAGCTCGTATCGTGTGTCGTGTGCGGCGCGTCAGCCAACAGGGCACGGGGCTTGATTCAACACCGACAACGGTGAGCTTGGGCACGGTCGTGGTTTCAGGCGCAAGCGCTAAAGTCATTTCCCGTGGGGAGGTACCTGACCAGTACCTATACCCAGCCTATCTGAGACTTGGTTTGTTCCGTTGTCGTATCTATCGTCCAGATTCAGATCCTCACACGCCAGGGCGTTGGCGAGGCAGCGCAATTTCCGCTGCCTCTCTCATGGTGGGAGGCCGGGTCCCATCCAGTCATGGCTTCACGATGCGCTCACTGCTTGGGGAGAGGGTCGGCGCGGAGCTGCTCACCCTGGCCGGTCGCCACTCTTCCCGCCGTCCACTTGATATCGGAAGCTTGATGCCACTCGCCTGGGTCCCCGTGAAGATAATGAGTAGACTATATGAGGGCAACGGCCTCGACCTCACCCGCCTGCTCCCTGGACCTCATCAGACCGCAACTCGACCGTGAGCATCATAGATCTCAATTTCAACAGCGACCTTCCCAAGGGCTCGTTCTTTGCTTTTATCTCTATTGCCTTTGCTCTTATCAGCCACAAATCTTGTTAGCTGCCATGGCGACCGCAGTACTCAGTTATCTTGGTGGTCTGGCGGGCTACGGCTCCAAGCCCGCTCAGGAAAAGACCCCCATCCGGGCCCTTCCCTCTGGCTGGTACACCTCCCACGAGATGTTCGAGCTCGAGAAGCGCGCCATCTTCTCCCGCAGGTGGCAGCTCATCACCCACAAGATCAGAATCCCCAACTCTGGCGACTGGCTCAACTTTGAAGTGGCTGGCTTCAATTTCATCATCGCCCGTGACCGCAAGGGCACCATCAATGCCTTCCACAACATCTGCAGGCACCGTGCCTATCCCATTGTTGAAGCGGAGAAGGGCACCTCCATGATATTCTCCTGCAAGTAAGTACAACCCATGCAGTCACGTGCGAGGCTGAACCCTCTCAAATATATATAACAAAATATTTACAAGTTTCTAAACAGATACCACGGCTGGTCCTACGGGCTAAGCGGGAACCTGGCCAAGGCCCCTGGCTACCAGGAGCTTGAGGGTTTCGACAAGTCCAAGAACGGGCTGTTCCGCATTCACACCCACATTGACAACAATGGCTTCATCTGGGTCAACTTTGACGCCAAAGACACACCCGAGGTCGCGTGGGAAGATGACTTTGCTGGCGCCGACACCCAGGAGAAGTACAAAGACTTCAACTTTGATGACTATGTCTTTGATCACGCCTGGCAGATGGATGGTGACTACAACTGGAAGATCCTCGCCGACAACTACAACGAGTGTTATCACTGCAAGACAACCCACCCTGACATTCCTGCGGTGGCTGACCTCGAGGCCTACAACGTGGAGACAAGGCGAGGCTACATAATCCACAACGTTGCCACGAAACCCGAGCAGAGGGAGCAGGGCCTGATCGTCGCACCAACATATCACTTCCCTAACGTCTCGCACAATGTCACGTGAGTACCTTCGAAAACCCTAGTCTCTTCATCCATCATTTGACAACTGGCGCTGACGATGTCTCGCAGCCCCCACTTCTTCTTCATCCAGCGCTTCATCCCACACTCCGCCAACAGGTCTACCATGTCCTACCAGGTGTTCCGCAGCAAGAACGCCACCGACGAGAACTTTGAGCTCGTCAACCAGATGTACAAGCGCATCATGTCCGAGGACAAGGCGCTTTGCAATGCGGCACAGCGCAACGTGAACGCCGGGGTCTTCGTCAACGGCGAGATGCACCCCCGCATGGAGAAGGGCCCCCTTTTCTTCCAGAACCTGTGCCGCGAGGCGGTCACTGAGCACTGGGAGAGGGAGAAGGCGGCCAAGAAGGAGATCTGGCCGGCGAGGCAGACCTTTGGTAACTATAACGCGGCCGTCTCCGAGAAGGACATCTCGTTTTGCTCGGGTCTGAGCTGCTCGAGCCTTGACGAGAAGGGCCCGCTTGCCTGGTAATTTTTCACTTGAGGGACGGTTCACAATGTGGCCTCCATTTATTTTCAATTTTACTGCGGAGGAGTTACGGAGTTGTGATCTTGCAAGGGGTTTTCACGTTCGAGCAAGACTGCTCATTTCAGCCCAGATGAGCTGGGGCGCAAGTTGTGGTTATTGTAGCAGCCATTCGTTTGTTTCTTGGTTGAAAGCATTGTCAAGATTGTCAGTTTAGCGTTGCTTCTTCCATCATTTTCAGGTTTGATCATAGGAAATTTCAAGTTTCCGAGAATGTATCTTGGCGTCTTTTAACGACAGCAATCATCAGTTCCTCATGGCCTCTAGTGACATGCAACAAAATAGCTATCGCTGCAACCCGAAGCTTTCTAGAAGCCTTGGCGACCGCGTCTCGAGGGCACCGAAGCCTCATTTTTCTTCTTTTTCTTCGGCGGTCTGAAATCTACAGTGCACTGCCGTACTTGCCATCCCATCCCTCCCGCAAAATTGACCTGTCATGAGAGCCCCAGAATAGTTTACGCTAGCACCTCAAGGCACGGTACCTAGGTAGCTGACTCTGCGCCCTGCATGTGAGGGAAGCATCATCCGTGACTTCGGCATGCCGACGGCTAATGTAAATCTCGATTCAGTGGTCCTGGACACATCACTAACTCAATGTGATAAGGCAGGGTTGGCAATAGACAACACATGATGCGTCCGTTCGTCGGAGTAGGCATCTGGGGCGCGCGTGGAGTGATGATGCACGCTAAGTTCACCGCGACCCCTGGCCGGTCTAGACCATGCCTGGGGCGTGCACAATCGTCCAGAGCTGGGGAACAGGACTGACATCCGGGGTCCCTGCATCGGCTCGTCACGAGCTACCTGTTCCTCCACACCTGGGGAGTCGGGGTATGCATAGTGGCGGTAAATTTTAGGTAATATCAACTCCCACGGCCCGTGCTTGCGGTTTGGACGACGTGTCAGTGAGTAATGGGCATCGTCATGTGGCTATCTTGGCCTCATCTGGAGCCAACACAGAACCATCTGGCCGACGACAATGGCGGCTGGCAAATTTACACAGGCGCAAGTACTGTATACCCACACGTTGCCGCTTCTTCCGCCTCCCGTTTGGCGAGGTATTGGGTTGGGACGCACGCGGATCTCCGTGTCAGAGAATGGATTATACGTCGGCGGCACGCGTTGTGGTCGAATCAATGATCATTCATTCCAAAAAAGCTGACTTGATACTGATCACCAGGCGGGTTTCTAAGTTGGACCCTTGTTTATGCAGCTTGCACTTCAGGGCTTCCACCTTTGGGTCTCAGAATCCTTGTCCAAGAGCAAGGGTGGATCTAGTATTCTCAAGAGATGATAGTCATGTTAGCTGAACCTTCTGGCATCAAGCAGGAGGCTCAGCGAGACGCAAGTTGCGTCGATTGCCCACTATTGGACACCCGTGGGCATATCAAGCTCCGTTCTAGAAAACGCGGCGCTGCGTATATCATTTCCAGTTCAATCTTATCCTGAATCACGCCATGTGCTCCAAGGTGTCGCCTGCATCTCGTATCTCGATCTCCTCGCTGTGCCACTCGAAATGAGAGGATGGCATCCATTTCCATCCAACGTGGCGGAATAATAGGACAGCATGGAACCGATCACTATCTCGTCGATCCGTTGTGATAGAGACCAGCAGAAACAAAAGATACATGAATACTTAATACTTGATACTTAGGTTTTGGAGATACATGGTTTGTGCAAGCCGTTCGACGGAGATACTGGCTCGGTACTTTATGCGGGGCTGATAATGCCACACCGAGAACGGACTTGGCGGGTCATGCGGCTCCCACAGCTTCAGATACGTTATCGGATGTTCATCCGTAGCTCGAATCCTCGGGTCGCAAGAACGCTGGCGGGAACCCCATATCTGGTTTAACTCCGGCGATCGTTCGGTGATAGACGTGCACAAGCAGGGGTCGATTCCAACATTGGCCTATAGTCAGGTACACAGTGTGGCTGGTACGTGGTGGCAGGCCGCGACCACAAGCAGCACCAGAACAGCATCGTGAACCGGCTTCCCAGATTCTTCTCGTCGTCAGTATTTCACGGGCCGCTCGTCATGCTCTTTATCCTTCGGTCTACTGATCTCAACTGTCTTCTCCATTGCCCGAAACTTGGCTGGCCTTCGTCATCATTTGCATCCTGCTTACGCTCTTCTGTGTTTCATTATCACTGCTTAATTACCACACTTCAGCGAGATGGCCCCCGGCAATGCCTCATACCTCATCGTAGGGGCTGGTGTATTTGGTGTGTCTACTGCATATCACCTCATCAAGAAATACCCCAATGCATCGGTGACGATCGTGGATCGGGATGCTTATGACGCAGAGAGCCGTGTGGCAGCGTCATGGGACTGGAACAAGGTTGTGCGCGCAGATTATGATGATATTGACTACTGCGCGCTGGCACTGGAGGCGCAGGACATTTTCAAGAATGATCCGTTGTGGAAGCCATATTTCGTCGAGACCGGCATCTACTGGATTTGCCGCACTGATTACGCCCAAGATGTGATCAACAACTACAAGAAGCTCGGCAGAAAAGCTGACTTGGAGGCTGTGTCGTGAGTTGAACCCAAGACTTTCACTTTGTGTCCTAGGCCACCAAACTGATTTCATGTCTCTTAATAGTGTTGAGAAAGCCAAGAAGCTGTACGGCGGTCTCTTTGAAGACGCCGATTACGAGGGTGTCAAAGAGGTCTTGGTCAACAGGACCAGCGGCTTCGCTTATGCGGGTGATGCGCTGAGGGCCGTCACCAAAGAGGCAATCAGACTCGGCGTCAAGTACGTTGTAGCCGAGGTGTCCACCGTCAGCTTTGACAGCAACGGGACTTGCACTGGTGTCAAGACCAAGTCTGGTCAGCAGCTTCAAGCAACGCACACTATCCTCTCGACTGGCGCGTACACGGCCAAGTTGCTCGAGTATAGTGCGCAGAGCAGCGGCAACCCGGCTGTCAGCGCAGACGGGCGCATTGTCGCCGGAGGAATCACCACCGGCATGGTCACACTAGACGACAAGTCGTTCGAGACATACAAGTCAATGCCTGTCGGCGTGCAGAGCTACCGTGTTGAGACGGGGCCGTTCATTGGTAGCCTGCCACCAACCAGAGACCGCGAGTTGAAGTGGTGGGGGCAGAAGATCTTTACCAACGAGCAAGAAGTGTTGCCAGGGAAGAAGCTCTCTGCACCTCCGCCTGAGAAAGACTACGCACAGTGGAAGGTGTCTAACCCACTCAAGGAGGACATTGTGTATGCGAACAAGGTCTTCTATGGCAAGAGGGCCGCAAATTGGAAGCAGGAGAAGCATCGTATTTGCTGGTAAGTTGAATGCCGTCTCCCGCCCCGTCAGGATTGAGAATGAGATAATGAAACGGTAACTGATTTGGATCACAGGGATGCTTTCACAACCAGCTGCGACTTCATAATCTCGCCGCACTCCGGAGCCAAGGGATTGTATGTTGCCACCTGTGGCTCTTTCCACGGCTACAAGTTCTTCCCCGTTCTAGGCAAGTACGTTGTGCAGATGATAGAAAATGAGCTTGCACCAAATCTGAAGGAGAAGTGGGCATGGGACAGGGAGCGTCCCGATGGCGCCGAATATCCAGACTTCCCTAGATTCGAGATGAAGGACCTTCTGGATTACAATGCCAGACTATAAGTGGCTTCGGTAATGGTGGGATGATGGGATCTGTAGCTGTAGCATCTTAATTGTTTGCGTCTTTGAACGTTTGGCGCTGTATAGAGGGACGGCATTTTACGTCTTCGGATGTTTACGAATCCAGAACGAAATTACCAATTAATTTCATACGTACATACTGCCCGTTTATCATGACTTTCGGCGCAAAGACACCAGGCGAAATGCCATTTGTTCCTTTCGGTTGCAATGGAATGCACACGGCCAGCTGTAATAAAACACCAGAGTTGAGATGTCCATGAAGATCAGGCCCGGAAGATGCAACACGATTGGTCTCCTGCGGTGCAGCTTTGATGTGGCACTTGGGAAAACAATTTACTCCTTTGATATAGTAGAGGAAACGAGGTAGGACCTTGACACCAATGTTTGTGTGAGGTCTGTCCAAAAGCGTGTCACGACAGATCGCTTGCCGGGGGGGGGGGGGTCAACCGGTCTTCCAGATGGATTGCAGTCCCTTTCCGAGTCCGTCCGCGGGCCCTGGGGTGATGCTATGGAATGATGAGGATGCGAAGGAATCAAAGATGCTAATTTAAAGCTGTAGTAAACTAGTCTACAGCATGTCCATATTCGAGGCAGAAGGCAGCGTTTCTCCTGTTTCGAAACATGGCTTGGCGCCAATATACATCCGACTGGCTGCTTGGGGTTCTCCAAAATCGGCTTCCCGTTCATTTGGGCTAGACAAGCCATTTGTTTTTAGCTGGTGCCAACGGCTTGGTAAGAACAAGGGAGGCTGGCAAAACCATAGAGTTGAAACCCCGCCAAGGAAAACCCAACTCGCGCTACACTCTGTCAAGAAGGCAAGAATCGAAGACGTACTGGATTAAGTGGTGCATATGTCAACCGTAAATTAAGAGGAATGACGTCCAGGAGCTGGACATAAATAAATAAAAGAAGGCCATGACCGCTGGTAACCCATTCCTCTTTCATCCGATGGTACCGATCTTTTAAATCAGCCGCCCCTCACTCCTTTCATTACACTCGTGGTTCAATTGCAGGTTGGCCAAAATGTTAGCCTCTATTCAGTCCGGTGTGTCCGGCACAGTCGTCACTATCACACTAGCCGCCCGAGCGGCAAATGCATACACTCAGGTCAACGTCGGCTCGCCTTTCATGCAGAAGAATATCGATCCGATTGTTTTCCCTGGGGAGTATGATAAATCCCACATGCATTCCTTTTTTGGGTCTGATGCCGTGACTATCAACACAACAACCAGTGCATCCCTCAGGGAAGGCTGCACGAATGCTCAAAATCCCAACGACCTTTCTATCTATTGTATGCAAACGTCCCGTCCCCGACCATCCCTCAGGTTCCATGGATGTGTGCTTATTACTTCTAGGGGTCCCCACTCTTTTGTACACCAATGATGATGGGTCAACTTGGGAACCGGTTCCTTTGAGCCGTTTCAGCGCCGTAAGTAACAGTACCTGCGACGGGAATTGGGATCAGGGCACTCCTCCGCGTCGAGTGCTTGTATCGTGCTTTGTTGCTGATTTTTGAATTGATGCAGTACTACAACTTAGGCGAGACCCCGGCAGAGGTCCCGATTCCTGAAGACCTGAAGATGTTGGCTGGTTCGGCAAGTGCAACAACCGCAGGCGATTCCCCCGCCGACGCCCAGGTTGAATGGTTCTGCGAGGGCGATTCCGGCATCTCAGCGGATGAGAATGGCTTCCCCAGTTCCACATGCAGCACGCACCTCCAGACACTGCTTTACTTCCCGCAATGTGTCAACGTGGACACGCTCGAGACGGCGTACAAGAGCCGTTCCTACGGTACAGCCAACTGGTGTCCGGAGGGGTCCAGCTCCATGCCGCAGCTTCGATTCAGCATCCGCTATGATCTGCGCAAGGCACTGAGCAGCGGGTGGAGTGGCACGGCACCATTGAAGCTGGCCTGCGGCAATGCATGGTGCAGCCACGGTGATTTCATCAATGGCTGGACGGAGGAGGGTGGCAAGAATCTAGTCGCGGCTACAAGCAGCAAGCGGGATTATATCTCTGTGAATGGCGCCCTGGGCAAGGACGGAGAGCAACCCAGTTGCAAGGCCACAGATGCGGACCCAGACCATGGCACCAGCGATTACGCCGAGAGTGTCGCCGCCATGGGCAAGCGCTCTGTGGACGCAGTAGGGTGGCGGTCTAGGTCCAGATTCCATTCAGCCATGCGGATCTGATGTGCAGATAGATGATGGAAGCGAGTGTATATATTAACCTTTGAAGTTGGAAAATTAAATCAAGCTTCCGGCCAATACTACCCACGAGATCGTCGCATGGGATACGTAGAATGCTTGCGAGTCCACTTCGTCCTGTTTCGAGACAAAACTGTCGATCTCAATGAACGCCTCCAAAAGCGGTCATGCTTCTATTGTACCGGGCAAGATCTTGTTACTGTAACGTGGATGAAATGGTGGTCATGTAGTGTGCTAGTCCACGGGTGCCGAGCAACTAACTATTTTTGACCAGCATCAAGCGATATTTTTAGGGCTGCTCGGTCTTGACCCTGTCATCCCATTCCCTTTAAGAGAGTGGTTTTATTTTTAATCCCTATACATATAAAATATACATAGCGCCTTTATATAGTAGTAAACACTTAAGACTTAGTATTTAAAAAAATATAGTATTAATAATAGTAAAAAGAAAATATAATATATAGGTATATAGTTAAACTTTATATTATATAAATAAAGTTAGAAGGTATTATTCTTAATAGTATTATATTAAAATTATTAATATAAGTAGTCTAAGAGCTAATAATTAGTGAAGTAATTATATAATAAGATTAAAAGAGCTAATATTTACTTACTTAGTAATTATATTTACTTACTTAGTTCCTACTATTTACTTATCTAATATAAAGTTTTATATATAAAACCTATATAATTCTATATAGCTATTAAGCCTATCCTATATTAACCTTAATATTTAATATATAATATATTTAATTTATATTTTTAAGTTAATAATAAGTATTAAATAAAATTTAAAATAGTTATTATTTTATTTAATTATTATATATTATTTTATATTATTTTAACTTTATTATTACTTTATTATAAGAACTTTATTTACTACCTATTTATTTACTTTACTTAAATATTAATACCTACCTCCTTATAATAATATAACTTAATTTAATTTTAATAATTTCTAAATTTCCTCTTACCTCTACCTCTTTATTTTATTATACTATAAATAATAAATATTAATATATTATTATAGGTACTTTAGATTTAATAAATTAATATATTAAATTATATTTATAATATATAATTATTAATTTTAAAAGATTCTACTTTACTATTTAACATTATAATATATTAACTAATTTTTATTAAGTAACTTTAATATCTACTATTTAGAACTTAATTTAATAATTATAATTTTTATAAAAGTATTTATAAGAATCTTAATAGTTATTATTTTTAAATTAAGTTTAACCTTTAAATTAAATATTATAAATATATAGTATTTATTAGTTACTTTTAAAATAACCTATTATAATATAAGATTACTATCTAATATATTTTAAATAGTAATAAAAATACTATTTTAAAAGTTAAGTTTATATTTAAAAATATTAAAAGAAAATATTAGAAGTAGTTTAAGGATATAATTAAAATAGATATAAGGAAGCCTAAAAGCTATTTATTTTATATAAAATAAGCTATTCTTTTAATTTATAATTAAAAGAATAAATAAATATTAAATAAATATTTTTAATTTATACTTTAGTTATTTATTTTATATTTAATATATTTAAATTTCTTTTAAATTATTAAAATAAATACTTTATATAATTATTTACTATTTAAATTATCTAATAAATATATATTTATAAGAATGGTACTCCTATTATACTATTAAAGTAATATAATATTCTTATAAACTAATTTTAAATAAATTAGAAAGTTATTAATTTACTATATATTATTTTTATAAATAAATTATATTTAAAACTATTAATAATTAGTGGAAGTTCTTTAATAATTAAGTTTTTAAAGGTTAACTATTTATTAAATACCTTTTAATACTTTAATTAAAAATTACTATTTTATTAATTTTATATAAATAATAAATATTATATTTAGTATATTATATTTTTTAATTAAAATAACTAAATTTTATAACCTTAATAACCTATTATTCCTTTTATAAATTCTATATTTAATATTAACTAATATAGCCTTTTATTTATTTATATTATTAATATAATATTTAAGTATTACCTTTATATTTATTTTTAATTTTACTAATAAGTTAAAATTATTAATTATATTTAAATCCTTTATAATTTAAAAACTTAATATTATTTATAATTTTTAATTAGTAAATATAAAACTTATTAAAAATATTATATATAAAAATATATTTAAATACCTAAATTATTATATATTAATAATATTTAATAAAAGTATTTAAAAAAATATTTATAAATATAAATATATTTCTAATAATAAAATATTTAAGAAGATTAAAAGAGTTTTTAAAATTATTAATATTATATATATAGTAAATATATTCTATTTATAAAGTAACTTTTAGTAAAAGTAGGTAATAATACTTAAAAGTAAGAGGTAGTTAACTATATTTAAATATAGTAGCTTAATTACTTTTATTATTAAAATATTTATTAAATATTCTTTTAAGTATAATATATTTTAATATACTTTATATATTAACTATAAAGAGTTTTTATTATTACTTAAAGATATAATTTAGTTATTAAAAGTATATATATATAATAATAATAAATATATTTTACTTTTAATTATATTATTTTAAAATTTAAAGATATTTTAATTAAAAGCTATAATAGTTACTAGAAGGTTAATATAACTTATTAATACTTTTACTATTTATTATTAATAATTTCCTAATTTATAATAGAAGTTATTATAAAAACTATTATATAATATAAAGGTTAAAGGTTAACCTTCTCTTATAAAAGCTTTTAATATATTATAAATTATTTATATACCTATAAAGTTTATACTATAATAAAAGTTAATAATATATTTTTAATAACTAACTTTTATTTATATTAATATTAGTTAGATTTAATAATTTAATATTTTATATTTTTATAAAACTATTAATTATAATAAATTATTTTAAACTTTTTATATATTTAATTATTACTATTTATAATTAAATATATAATAATATTTATTAAGTAAAAGTAAACTACTTTTAAACTCCTATTTATTAAGGAGTTATAATTTATTTTACCTTAATAAATTAGTTATTTAATAAATTAAAGGTTTTAAAAGGAGTTTTATTAGAAATATATCCTTTTAATAAAACCTTTATTATTATATTTCTTTATTTAATAGGTAATATTTAGCTATTATATATATTAATATTATTATTAAGGTCTATTATTAATTAGATTTTTAAAACTATTTTAATAAGGATTTATTATAATTAAATAAAATTTATTTAATACCTTAATTATATCCTTTATAAAGTAAAAGGTTAGGTAGTTAAGGAATAGGTTTAAGAGAGTAAAGGTAAACTACTATATATATAAGTTTAATACTTTATCTACTATTATTAAGTAGATATTAAATAGGAATAAAGCTGTAAAAAAAAGGAGGGTAGTTAGTTATAAAAAATATAAGCTTTATAATTAGCCTAGGTATAATTAATAAATATATTTAGCTATACTACCTCTTTTAATCTACTTAATAATAAACTTATTATTAAGTTCTTCCAACCCCTTTATAATAAACCTAATATTATCTCCTTTAAATTAACTAATTTTAGATTTTATTTTATTAATTAAAAGCTATTTAAAGTTAATTATAAAAATATAGACTTTATTATTAACCTAAATATAATTAATAAATATATTTAATTATATTACCTTTTAATTAATTTAATAATAAATTTATTATTAAACCCTTTTAATACCTTTATAATAAACTTAATATTATTTTTTAAATTATTTAAATTTAAATTTAAATTCTATTTTATTAATTAAAAAGCTTTTAAAGTTAATACTATTTTATTATCTATCTAGTTAAAAGTTAATTTCTAGTTAAATATAAAGGATATATATATTAGTTAGAATATAATTTATATTTCTCTTTTTAATATTTTTATTAAGTCTATTTAATATATTTATTTATTTATTATATATTTCTATAATTATTTATAGTCTAATATACTCTATACTACTATCTTTTAATATATTATAGTTAAAAACACCCTTACTACTATCTATCTCTTTTATAAATAAGCTATAAAATACCTTTTAAATTAAAAATATATAAAGGTTAAATTATTATTTATTAAAGTATATAAATAAAAATATTAAAATAGTATAAAAATTAAAATATAAAAATATTAATTAATAAATTTAATAAAAAAGTATAAATTAATTTAATAGGATTTTAAATTAAAAGAAATATATATAGTAAGCTATACTTAACTAGATAATATATTAAAGTATAGATAAAATTTTAAAATTAAAGAGATTATTAATTATAATTTAATTAAATAAATAAAAGAAATATAGTAAATTTAAATAGACTATTATATTTATTAGATTAATTATAAAGAAAATAAGTACTATTATAAGTTAAAGTTTTAGTTTAAACTATTTAATAAGAGGATAATAATTAAGTAATGGAAATTAAGGAAGAATTATAAAGATAGAATATTTAATTATATAATTAAGGTATAATAAATATATTAGTAAATACTTTTTTATGACTTTAATAACTAATTTCTTTATAAGATTAATAATTATATTAAAGGTAATTTATATAAATATAAAACTCTTTATTTTAATATAATATAATAAAATATTATATTATAAAGAGTATTTTAAAAAAAGTTAATAAAGAAGATTATATTAATATTATTATATTAAAAGTATAATAAATAAAGTATAATATTTTATTATTTTATTATATTTATTATAATTCTATAAAATTAAAAGCTTTAAAGTATAAATATTTAATATTATAGTTTTAATTAATAATTTTTTTACTTTTATAGTTTTATAAATATATTTTTATTTTATCCTTTAAGATTTTACTATTATATTATTTCTATTTTTAAAGTTATTTATATCCCTTTATATAATATTTTTAACTTTAACTTTTATAATAAAAATATTTAAAACTTATTTTACCTTTATTAAAATTATTTTCTAATTATAAAAATA